GAGCCATGGACTCCAGGTTTTCTGACAGGACTAACTTAAAAATTCCTACAAAAATCACACTTGGAGAAGTTAATGAAATGAAACCTATTTCTATAGAAACATTGTCATGATTATCACTAAAGAGATAATTCGCTTTCAGTCATGTGTTGCTTAAATTTCAATACCTAAATTTTTTACATTTAGCTCATTCTTTTCCCTCTCCCCATGGACAATTGGACTACTTACCTTTTTCACATTGAATTGTTTTTTTTTTTTTTTTGGTAACTGTATCTTCATCAGTTATGATTTACAGGATCATTGTAGGAGTGAAACTTACTAAACATTGACACTTAACACTTCTATCACTCAGTGATGACAAAAGTGGGTAATAGCTATTATCAATGAAACAAAACAGGCATTACAATACAGAGAGACACTATACTCATACAAATAAAGAGACAAAGTAAGAACTGAACTCCTACAAATAAAGAAAAAACACTACAAGTACGAAAAATAAGCACCAGCAGTTCAAACAGACTCAGTACTTTTACAAGAACAGACAATTACCCTTTAGATAAAGTAAAAAAACTAGTAAACAACAGAGTCCTACAAGTACTGACAGTCCTTTGTAATGAGAGGATGTGTCGGAGTGTCAGGGCATTTTGGCAATTCCAAGAATGTCTCAGACCAGTTACATGCATACATGTTATTAAGCCTGTTTCATATATCCAAGTAATTTAAATATTTATATTTTACCATGCATATATTTTACCCATTGTTTCAAGACTGAGAATCTCGCTTCCTCTTGAATATGCAGTGCTGTAATGTGACTCCCTCTCCACATTTCCTCTCAACACATCCATTGATTTACATATAAAAAAATATCAGTGCAAACCATTTGTTTCCATAGTTTATTGACAAGTTCATAAAAACTTTGCCATAAGCTAAATCATCGATAACTCTTTCTGTAAAATCTTGCTGGTAGAGCATCTACAAAAATTCCAGACAATGCATCAATACACATAGTACAAATGTGGAAAAAAAAACATACCGGGTTTCGGATATCAATATTACAGTTTGAATTTGTGGAATAGAATATACCCAACTGTTCAAAAATCGCTATCTTCTTAACTATGTCAGCATTTGTATGACATCAATAAAACATCCAGTCATCATAACAAAGACTACAAAACCAAGTTAGGTAGGTCATCAGACTTTGAATGCAAGTTTTGGTTTTGACTTTTTGTATATATATGTGTGCGTGTTTTTTTTTTTTTTTTTTCCATGTGTCTTTTTTTTTTTTTTGTTTTTTTTTTTTTTGTTTTTGAAAGGTGACATGCTGCATTTATTTATTTTACCTAGCAAATTTTACCATTGTTTATGCATTTTCTTTTTTATTTTGGCTTTGTGTAGATGTATTTGTCCCATTACAACAGGAGTTTTTATTGAGCTCTTAAATAGCTACACCTCAGAAAAAGTCCGTGACTGACAGACACTAACAACTGACAGACTGAGAATACTAAACTTTTTTTTCATGGCACTCAACTGACTAAATAGTTATCAGTGAAAATGATTTTTTAGTGATGTTGGGATATAGTACTAGCTACACAAAGAAAGGTAAATATCTTTAAACTGGTATTAGGAGTGTAGAAATAAAAATATCTATGCTGGTCCAAAAATGAAAGGCTAACATTTTCTTGAAAACTTCAAAATGAGGTTAAATAAAAGATGCATTATCAGGGCTCTGGGTCTGCCAGATTTGAGGCCGATATTCGGCCCCATTCCCAATGCAAAATAGTATCTTTTTTCCCAATTTAGACCCCAAGTTTTCCCAATTCTAAGGAAAACACCATTACTTTTCCCAATTCAAAGGGCCCTGGGCGCCAGTCCCAAAATGGGGTGTGAGAGCCCTGATTATTGTTATATCTCACACATTCCAAATTAAGAGGAAGTGAACTGTAGGCATGCTTATTGTTCCGTAATGAAGACCACCAGCATAAGAATTACACAACATTTGGTTGTTAAGTTATTTAGTAGCCTCGTAACCACAAAACACAACTGCTGAGTATGATATGACAGCTTCATGTGCAGGAAAATTACAAACCTGACGGGTCAAAATATGTGATATAAGCATGTCCCTTCATACTTCAATCTCATTTTTGGATATACGCTTGAGGTTTACTGATTAATAGTGTACCAGTAAAATGTGGCTTTCCTACATTATACCCATTTTGTCATAAGGACCATCAAAGCTGGACCCCATTTCACTGTTGCCTTAAGACAACAGAATAATGCTATGTTTATAGTTGAGTTCCATCTACAGTATGGTAACATAATACAAACAGTCTGGAGGCAAGATGATGAGCTTTTTCGCAGGCTGTTGCATCATAAAATGGAATTCATTTCATGGCAGAAATATCACAGTTTAAATGGTATTTATGATGGGAATGCACATGTAAATTTTTATATTGCAATATTTTTGCAATATTATTAAAAAAACAAGTCTACAGTTCCTTAGGTGACTTGTGGGCGATGACGCCTGTCAGAACTCTTCTGCAGCAACATGACATGTCATTGTTAGAAAGACCATTATATAATAGAATCGTTGATATGTCACCATCAAAGAGATTTGTCGCGGCATTTCTGTGTGGCATGTCAAAGACCATCAAATTCAGCTGTCAATAAGCTTGCATGAGTTGAACCATCACAATTTCCTTAAAGGTTAAACTCAACAGTTTAGTTGACATCAGAAATCTGTTGACTTTTCTTTTTAAAGTGTGTATTATACATCAAGCATAAATAAGACATTATCAACATCCACTGATTTCAGGGAGAATTCTGCAGCTAATTTCTATGTAGTTATTGTCCTACTTGGTTTCCAATGTCCTTTATGTTTCCTGTTGTCTTCAACCTACTTTTCAGTGATGGAAGCTGGTTTTTTTATAACCCTTGCTGATACAGAGATGTTGAATATAAACCCTAACAAAACTTAAACATTATTATAACTACAGCACTGACTAATCATGCAACTTAACTATTTGCAATATTTAGTAGATATTATACACTTTGCTTTTGTTGACAGTAATTATCTAATATGATGTTTGAAAATTGTAATTGAAGACATTTTGACCTGTATTGCATTTTCTTATTATAGAAAAGGGCAGCAAAATTGTATTTGAACAATCTTTGCACTAAGTTTATGTCTTGACCTTCATTATATAAACTTAGCACAACAAATTTTGAGATATTGTAATGAGGCAGTTTCATATTTATGATGTAGGGAAAAAAGTAAATGTTCCTTTAATTATGTGTGAAAGCATTTTAATTGAACATGTCTTTAATGGTACGTTGATTTCAATATGATAGATATGGGGTAAATATGCATAAAGTAGATAGTGATAGGTACATGAGTTAGACTGGATAGCATACAATACTTGTTGTCCTAATGATTAGACAGATGTGTATAGTGTGTCTGATTGAAACACGGTAATAACATACTAACAATTAATTACACACACTCTGTTCATGATCTTGCACTGTTGAAAGCAGTTGAGTATAACATCAAAAGTTTCATTTTTTTTCATTCCAGTGATTTTTTATGCTCAATCACCTGCAAAGATACCAAATGAAATCATGCAGTGTTAGTCTTTTTTGTCAGAGAGCAGATTCAATTTTCATTTCGACTTTATCTAGTTAGGACCATTTCCTAGAAATCTTTTTTAGGTGAAGGAATAATGTTGTCAGAAATGCATTACAACCATGGAAATGTCTAGACATTTGTAAAGCAGGACTTCTTCCTCAAAAATATGAACATTTGTTCAAACATGTTATATTTAAATGCTGACATTATCTGTAGTGAAGAATTTGATGTCAGGAAGTCAAAGCTAAGGTCAACACACAAATGAATTAGTTGTAAAAGTGACATCTTGTTCAACTAGAACATCATCACTTAATAACTAGTTAACTCCTTATAAGTCACGATAATCCTTTAAATCACAATACACAGGTCAGAAACCATGACAACAGGAAATATCAATCCATTCCATATGAAACTTTCACAAAAAAAGTGTATCATAGTTAAAGTCACCCCATGGAATTTTATATCTGACCATGATTAGATTGAGGTATAGCATTTTGGATTGATTGATGATTAATGTTTTGCCAAGATAGAGTGTATCATAGAGGGGTTTACAAAGACCTCAATATAGACTTTAGTTAATTTGTCAACAGGGTCATCCAGTAAGCCTCTGTATAGTCCATATGGGAAATTATGGTGTCAATGTATTTAAGCATTAACTACTGATGTCAGCTGTTCACCACTTGGACCCCTTTCCCACCCCCCTCCACCAGTACCTCTTTCAATAATAATGGAGAAAGTCCATGGACATAAGATCTCCAATCAAATAGGAATGTTGGTCTAAGATTTATTAATAGTTCCAAACTGTTGGTCCTTGTACTGAAAATTTGTTGAAAAGCTTTGAAAATTTCCAGAGATCTTTCCACATACTTTCATATTTTGATTCTTGAATACAGATTTTCTGTGATGAAAAAGAAACTTATGTTAAAAGAATAGAAAGGATGATTGTTGTGTTGTCAGATATTGACAGAAGATTTGCAATGGCAAATAGAATTTTAAAAATTTGAAAAGTTCAATCGATAGAATACTGTCAGTAATATTCTTCAATATTTTATGTATAACATTTTTGCATTGTTATTGGTTAGATTTTCACATTTTGCAAAATTTGTCTAAAGACATCATCAGGAGAAATATTGTTAAAACAGGTGCATTGATACCATTAAGTGTAGTGTAAGGGGGCGTCATTAAGTTTCAAAATTCCAAAATGAATTTAGGTGTGCTTTGGTGTAATTCAGTTTCACTTCATGCATTTCAATAAGACAGTTTGAGGGACTATATTCTATCAGCTGCTTTCAAAACCCCCGCACAAAGTTATATTAAATATGCACACTAATCCTTTTCTCAACAGGATTTTTTTGACTTTCTAAAACAGATTATTTGTGTCATGTTCTATATAGGAACCGAAGAAACGAAGATAGAGGAAAGCTCTGTCTCAGCCTCCATATCAAAAGCCGCCATTTTGGATTTGAACTCTGACAACAGCCAGTCTCCCTCGTGTGCACCACCTGATATTACCAGCACGGATCATAGGTTCCCTGTCAGTGGAAATCACACGGAGTTGAGTGAACCACCTGACTTAAATCCAGAGGAGCATACCGGCTTGTTAGATCACCAGTCACGCAGTCCTGATGTATTGGTCACAACTGTAGAGCAAGCAGACGTGAGCAATTCCAGTGAGCCACCCAATATAACTGGGGCAGATGCATTCCCATACACAGGGGAGGCCAGTGATCCGGATGACGCCATACCAATAGACTGTCCAGAGTTTCAGCATAGTCTTGATCAGCCTCATCAGTCAGATCAGTCTTTAGGAATACTGTTATCAGATGATTTCAACCCGGAGGAATCGGAACACCAGGACCCATACTTTGGAGACAACCAAACTTCTACAGAGCTTTTAGATTCTGATGACTGCTCTCCTGAAGGGTTTCTGGCATCCTCTTTCCCAGAATCCAATTTAGCGGAATCTTTACAAGCTGTCGCTCCTGGTGATATTCTTGCTGTTTCTCTACCCCAGCCTCCACCTATCACACTAAAACTCTCCACTCCACCTATTAAACGTGGCCCAGGGAGGCCCAGAAAAGATGGTGTTGGTCCAATTCAGAGAAAGAGAGTGTAAGTACAGTGCTGATGTGTGAATGCTGGTGTCTGCAGAAACATCACATTGGGATTTGATACAAGTTTACTCTGTTTCCAAATGGTCTTTTCTGTTTTTGTTGCCAATCCCTATTTTTTCTCCAACTTACCAGTACTATTATATCTAATCGTCAGAACTAAGAATATTTTGTAGATCTTGTAGATTCTGGCATTATTGAAAGATAAGCAGTGGAATCTTGATGGTACTTACATTTTGTAGGGTCCGAATTTGTAACATAACGCGACATGGAAGAAGACATACAAAGAGAGATATTCTTTTATATCGAGGAATTAATTTTGTGAGACCACCAATTAATGTGTCATTTGATTGAATAATTCCTATACAATATACTATATCAACCAAATGTTAACATACAAACATGTCTGTATAAAGAAAGCATTAGTGGATATACATGATAATACAATGACTAGGGACAAGACATCCCTCCTGTTGTATCCCTGGTAAATATCTTGTGGAATAGAGGTAATTTAATGGTTATAGTGAACTAAGTTCATTGCCTATCGATATTTGTCCCTGACTTCAGAAATATATCGAGCTACTCCCAGATTATGGGGGCATGTTTGAAAGTTTTAAGTAACCAATACTTTAGAGTGATATTGCTCCTAGATAAGATGAAATTGTTATTTTACAGCTCTCTTGGTAAAACCAGCACTAAGAGCTCCATAAAGAAGGGGGTGCACATCCATCCAAGCTTTGCAGGTCTTGTGCGCTCGTTTCAAGGCAGTGTTATGGATTCAGTACCTATGGAGTCTACAACCCAGGACGCCACACAGGTTGTGGCGTCAGATATTGCAGGGCCATCATCTATGATGCTGGATTACGATCAGGACGTGCCTGGCATGGCTATGGAAGATGACCAGGGTATGATATTACATGATAATGATGTACTTGCCAAATATTTAAACACATTTAAAAATTTTCTCAAGTTTTGGAAGACTCAGTGTCCTGATAACATGCCAGCAGGTACTTTGAATGGAGTGTTAAACATTTTCCTCATATAAATGATGACCTATTTTCAAGATCACACTGGCAAAATATATCCTATATTTATCCTGTGTTATGGAAATGATTGTATTGTATTTTTCAGCTTCATCAAGTTACTCTGTGATGTCAGGAGAGGGCTCTGATCCTCTAGAACCATTGATGTAAGTTTATAATAGTCACCCTATCAAACCCAAAACAACATTGACAGATATCATGTAGTTTTTGATCCATGCATAACTGTATACATGTACATTTGGAATCGGTTCAAATAAATGACTTTCTGGCAACTGTTGTTACCTGTTCTTAAAACACCAATTTAGAGATCAACTTTCTATCACTTATACTGGGTCATTTGTGATATGCTGACTTGTTACAGGCCCACAAAGCTGTGCAGTTTGTGTAACTGTGGAGAGCGTAGCCTGCTGGGACAGGGCGAGTTGGGGAGGTATGATCCCACCCCAGGCTTTAACCCACTGAAGAAGACATTAGGAAAGTCTCGCAATAAAACACCTGAGTTTGATGAGCGTACCACGAGTGAGAAAGGTCCAAAGCCTCTGACATGGAGACGCCATAGAGGACCACTAAAGGGCAACAAGTATGTATGAAATTATGATGCAAGAGATGCTTTATGTGTATCAGCTTAGGGTGCCAAAGACCATGCCGTCATTCTTGGTTACAAGTGTTGCCAATTCATTCTAAAAGGACTTACAGTTCACTCATATTCCACAAGCAATAAAAATAGTGAATTCATGATTGAAATGAAATTTGGACACCATCTGGAATGGGATTATCAGTACAAGTGCTTTCTGCGGTGGTGAAGAGCATATTGTACTGATTCACTGCTGTGGCACAAATCATTTAGTATACTGGTCACTGCTATGGCACAAATCATTTAGTATACTGGTCACTGCTGTGGCACAATTCATTTAGTATACGGGTCACTGCTGTGGCATATATCATTTGATATTCTAGTCACTGCTGTGGCATGTATCATTTTGTATACTGGTCAAGACTGTGGCATGTATCATTTGGTGAACTGGTCACTGCTGTGGCATGTATCATTTGGTATTAAGGTCAAGGCTGTGGCATGTATCATTTGAAATACTGGTCACTGCTGTGGCATGTATCATTTTGTATACTTGTCAAGACTGTGGCATGTATCATTTGGTATTCTGGTCACTGCTGTGACTTGTATAATTTTGTATACTGGTCAAGGCTGTGGCATATATCATTTTGTATACTGGTCATGGCTGTGGCAAGTATCATTTGGTATCCTGGTCAATGCTGTGGCATGTATAATTTTGTATACTGGTCAAGGCTGTGGCATATATCATTTTGTATACTGGTCAAGGCTGTGGCATGTATCATTGGTATCCTTGTCAATGCTGTGGCATGTATTCGGTATACTGGTCACTGCTGTGGCATGTATCATTTGGTATACTGGTCAAGACTGTGGCATATATCATTCTGTTTACTGGTCAAGGTTGTTGCATATATCATTATGTGTACTGGTCAAAACTGGCATGTATCATTTTGTATACTGTTCAAAGCTGTGGCATGTATCATTTGGTGAACTGGTAAAGGCTGTGGCATGTATCATTTGGTATACTGGTCACTGCTGTGGCATGTATCATTTGGTGTACTGGTCACTGCTGTGGCATGTATCATTTGGTTAACTGGTCAAGGCTGTGGCATATATCATTCTGTATACTGGTCACTGCTGTGGCATATATCATTTTGTATACTGGTCAAGGCTGTGGCATGTATCATTTGATATTCTGGTCACTAATGTGGCATGTAGCATTTGGTATCCTTGTCAATGCTGTGGCATGTATCCGGTATACTGGTCACTGCTGTGGCATGTATCATTTGGTATACTGGTCAAGACTGTGGCTTATATCATTCTGTATACTGGTCAAGGCTGTTGCATATATCATTTGGTATACTGGTCAAGACTGTGGCATGTATCATTTGGTGTACTGGTCAAGACTGTGGCATATATCATTCTGTATACTGGACACTGCTGTGGCATGTATAATTTGGTGTACTGGTCACTGCTGTGGCATATATCATTTTGTATACTGGTCAAGGCTGTGGCATGTATCATTTGATATTCTGGTCACTGATGTAGCATGTAGCATTTGGCATACTGGTCAATGCTGTGGCATGTATTCGGTATACTGGTCACTGCTGTGGCATGTATCATTTGGTATACTGGTCAAGACTGTGGCATATATCATTCTGTATACTAGTCAAGGCTGTTGCATATATCATTTTGTATACTGGTCAAGGCTGTGGCATGTATCATTTGATATTCTGGTCACTGATGTGGCATGTAGCATTTGGTATCCTGGTCAATGCTGTGGCATGTATTCAGTATACTGGTCACTGCTGTGGCATGTATCATTTGGTATATTCAGGTCAAGGCTGTGGCATGTATCATTTGGTGTACTGGTCACAGCTGGGAAAATATTAATTACATCATTTGTGAACTGCCTTGAGACTATATTGGAACCTCATATTATTTTTTCCTAGGTATAACTTTAGCTGTATATAATGAAACCAAGCATAGTGTAATAATTTGAGTCGTACATTCTACCTGTAGTGATATTCTACAACTTAACAGGGAGCGTAGCAAGTCCCCCCGTCGGTATCCCCATAATTCGGATGAAGACCCTACCTGTATACTTGGTGATGAGCTGAGTATGGTTGGACATCCAGAAGATATAGACCTAACACAGGTGTTTGAGCCATCAGGTAAGTTGCATCACATTTTCAAGGTGACACGTCGTACAGCTGTTCATCAGTTTCTACATAAGATTGATGGAGAAATGCTATCAGGAATTTATTCGTTTAAGTGTAAAATGAAATCTGTAAAAAATGTCACAGAAAATGTGAACATTTCTGTATGCAAAAGAATTTTCAGTGTGGACTATTTTGTTATCTTCTCGTTCAAAATTTTGGCAAGATACAAAATGTATGTATAAGAATTGGGATATGCTACATAAATGTGTTGAATTTATGGTATTGCTGTAATTCTTGAAAATTGCTTGAACTTGACATGCATTTATGCATTTCTGTAAGTTTACTTAAAAGCAGTAATCACATGATTTGCCAATATGTTAAACACATTAGCTAAGAGTTTACTTATGTTTGCTCTCAGTTGCTTTACATTTATGTTATTTTTTGAAAGTAGAAAACTGAAAATTGCCAGGCATGTTCACTGTGAAGAGATAGTATACACAAGTAAACCAGATTCTTGAAACATCATTTATTCCCACTTTATAAAAATATAAATATATCCAGGCAACTGGGATTGACCCCACTTGTATCCCCTCCCTCCGATATTCTTACAGCAAGTGTAAAATTATGGACAAAGTGTGATAGTTGCTTGCATCAGAGTGTATAAAGTCGGTCTATTAATATCATTAAATGATAGACATTTCTGTGTACATTATGTATCTATCGGTTAGGTTGAGAGTTGATAACTCAAATGTTTCTTTTTTTATTTCATTTCCAGGACACACACTGGCCCACCACTGTTGTGCAGCATGGTCTGAGGGAGTGGTACAGACACATGATCTGCTGCTCAAATATGTTGACAGGGCTGTGTATACTGGTTTATCTCAAGTGAGTACATTAAATCTTCTTTTTTCTTGTTGAATGAAGATTGATTTTTGAGATGTTTTATAGGATGTTGTTGTCTTGATTCATTGTGTTAATTTATCTGGTCAGTCATTAAGTCTCGCATATATTTCCTGGGAAGTACTGAATGTGTTTCACATTCTATGTTAGTGTTGTGATCCCCATTATACATGTTAATTTGATACAGAAATATGTTAGAGAACCAACTGGAAGTTATCTTACTATTTAAAATTTTCAATACTTTTCACACAGTTCTGGAAGGAAATTTGACAAGTAGATTCCCAGTTGCTGCTGTGCTTTATATAATTTGAAATTTTGTACTCTTTTGTGTTTGAATAACTCTGGTATTGCATCATAAGTGGTACAGGTGATTTGTATCAAAACTAAAAAAGGTGATGAATCTCCAGTATGTATTAATGAAAACTTCTATAACAAGGTTAAGAAATAGGGTTTTCATTTCCAGTCATGATTGTTCAGATTTTGTATTTAAGAATTAATGGTCTTGATTCCTTCCATCTCGTTATAGAAATGCAGTTATTGCCGTAACTATGGTGCTACTATCAACTGTCGTGTGACCAAGTGCAATAAGAAATATCATTATCCATGCGCATCAGCAAGGGGCTGTTTCCAGGCAAGTATGATAAGGATGGTATAGGAATAATAGTAGAGGAATGTATATCATAGGGTAGGTATGTATGTCTTGGTGATATGTTGTTATGTATAGTGAGAGAAGTTAAGACCTTGATAATATGTTGTGTGTAGAGAAAGAAGTTAAGACATTGATGATATGTATAGTGAAAGAAATTAAGGCATTGATGATTTGTTGTTGTGTATGGTGAGAGATATTAAGACATTGATGATATGTGGTTGTGTATAGTGAGAGAAGTTAAGACATTGATGATATGTTGTTGTGTATAGTGAAAGAAATTAAGACATTGATGATATGTTGTTGTGTATGGTGAGAGATATTAAGACATTGATGATATGTTGTGTATAGTGAGAGAAGTTAAGACATTGATGATATGTTGTTGTGTATAGTGAGAGATATTAAGACATTGATGATATGTGGTTTGTTAAGACATTGATGATATGTTGTTGTGTATAGTGAGAGAAGTTAAGACGTTGATGATATGTTGTTGTGTATAGTGAGAGAAGTTAAGACATTGATGATATGTTGTTGTGTATAGTGAGAGAAGTTAAGACATTGATGATATCTTGTTGTTTATAGTGAGAGAAGTTAAGACATTGATGATATGTTGTTGTGAGTGAGAGATATGTTGTATGTGTATGTGTATAAGAGAAGTTAAGACATTGATGATATGTTGTTGTGTATAGTGAGAAAAGTTAAGACATTGATGATATGTTGTGTGTAGTGAAAGAAGTTAAGACATTGATGATATGTTGTTGTGTATAGTGAGAGAAGTTAAGACATTGATGATATGTTGTTGTGTATAGTGAGAGATATTAAGACATTGATGATATGTGGTTGTGTATAGTGAGAGATATTAAGGCATTGATGATATGTTGTTGTGTATGGTGAGAGATATTAAGACATTGATGATATGTTGTTGTGTATGGTGAGAGATATTAAGGCATTGATGATATGTTGTGTATAGTGAGAGAAGTTAAGACATTGATGATATGTGGTTGTGTATAGTGAGAGAAGTTAAGACATTAATGATATGTTGTGTTACAGGATATAAAGACTCTATCATTGCTGTGCCCTGACCACACTGACCAGGCAGAAACTATAGGTATGTTTTCTTTGTAGTGATTATCAGAATGGAAAAGTTCTCTAAATAACCAATATAAATACCTAGGTAGATATATGGTATCATCAGTACATTTTATATGTGAATTGTACTGTACATGCCTGAAAATACTTTATGAGACCCTTGTTAGATACATCATTGTTCTTTGATTGATAATGATATTTTTGTCCTTTTACAGCGGGTGAGGAGGCTCTATGTGTTATATGTGACCTGGTGGGCAACATTTCTGAGCAGCTTTTCTGTACAAGCTGTGGTCACCACTATCATGGCAGTTGTTTGCATCCCTCTGTGGCCATGACACCAGAAGTCCGTGCTGGATGGCAGTGTCCAGACTGTAAGATCTGTCAGATGTGTCGGTAAGTTTGCTCAAACATTTAATGCACATATAATCACACGATCACAAGATGTCATCAATAGTCCAATATATCATTAGAAATGTTTCTCATAAATTGTGTAGATATCACAAATGCAAAATTTTTAAAAAAACTCAGAGTTTTCATGTAAGCAGACAGTTCAGATTTAAAATTTCATCACTATAAATTTATGATTTTCAATAATTTTTATCCCAGTGAGAATTGTTGACCTGAAAATATTTCAAACACTTTGTGGAATGGTATTATTATAGTAATAATTGTAAGATGTCTAAATATGGGACGTCATACAATAGAATCATCACCTTTAAATGCCCAAACATCAGGTTGAGACCTCGCACAACTACTTTAAAATAGAAATTGGAAATTTGACATTTTCAACATTATGATCAGTATGATTGTGTTTAGGGAAATAAAATTTGACATCAGAAAAATATGATTTCTAAGGATGTAGAATTTGATATGAAAAACAATGGATGACTATTGATGCTGCAGACACCCTGGAGAAGACAGTAAGATGCTGGTGTGCGACACATGTGATAAAGGATACCACACATTCTGTCTCAAGCCTGTCATGACAACAATCCCTAAGAATGGCTGGAAGTGCAAGGTATTGATTGTATTGGTGTATATGGTACTCCACTTGTGTAGTCAGTCAGTAGCTGTGTTGAATTTGGTCCTGAGCTTGGTTTTACTGTGCCTTTCTGGCAATATGCCCACATTTTAAAAGTATATTGTAGTTCATTAAAATTGGTAACAAACACTGTTAAATCGTCTTGTACCTCAACTTTTAATCAATTATGTGTTGTTCTCTGGGCTTATTTCAGGTTAACAACAGGTTTACTGTTGCTGTGAAATTTGATATTTTTTATCATTTACCTCAAACTATTGGTTTTTTAAAAATTCTCCTGCTGTTCAAATATATTGATTCTTCTGAACTGAGGTAGTGCATTACAATAGAAAGCTTCTTTTAATTTTCATGGCTGGAAGTTTTTATGTTTAATTTCTCATTTCATTTCCTAGCTTGGTGTGTGCAAATTGTAAGGACTTTGTGGTTCTTAGAAAAGTTATAGTTAGTAATTATATAATTTTTACAGAACTGCCGTGTTTGTGGTGACTGTGGTTCAAGAACACCTGGTAGTGGTCCTAGCTCTCGATGGCACCTCAACTACTCCGTCTGTGATAGCTGTTACCAACAGAGAAACAAAGGCTTGTCCTGCCCACTGTGTGGGAAGGCTTACCGACAGTTCACACAAAAGGAGATGATACTGTGTAATACATGTAAAAAGTGAGTAAATATTGAAGGAAAAATAGTTTCGTTCAATACAAATACCACGTTGAAGAATGTGTCCATTTGTCCTGTTTTTTGTCCTCATTCAGGTGACTGAATTTCCAGACAGATTATCATCATTCTTGTCCCAGAATTACATTATCCTTTGCCAATGTTATTGCGACTTCAATAGAATCTTGCTTCCTCAAGCCTTTACTAGCACTGTCTTGATTCCTGCAGATATTCTTCTGAGTAGACGTTATTTGATCCAAGGTTATTGCTGTGTTATACAGGTTAGATAAAGTATGACTTTGTGACGAAACATTAAAGTTTTCAAAAACCAAAACATTATCAGTAGAAATTACATTTTTCTAATTTGTGTGGTTAGCTTTTCTCAAATGGTCTTTGGAATGCCGGAGATTGATTGCTCATTTTGTGCTCCAATTACAGGCTAATATAAAATGAAATTTGACACTCAATCATGTTCTGGTGTGGCACAAAGTATATTCCATGTTAAACTTAGTTGTCAGAATTGGCTGTGTAAAGGCATATAGCTTTTGTGACCTTATATATCACAACATATTTTCTACATTGTATTCATCCGTTGTAGACATGTTCATGCTGAGTGTGATGAGACAATTGACTCGGGCTTGCTGCAGAAAGTTAAAGAAGGACTAGACACCGATTATACCTGTGCTTTTTGTCGCAACAGAGACCCTGATGTAAGTGGAATCATCCGCAATATTTCTTTTTTGCTAATTTTTAGTCAGAATTAAAAGGCAGAGATTTTTCTTTTCTTTTTTTTAAATTGATATTAATGAAGAAATTAAAAGGCTTCCTTTTTGATTTCAATACTAAACATATGTGATTGGTTCATTGGATTCATTTGTTCCTTACCATGTGAGCAGGAAAGTAGTGGCTTGAAATACTTTTACACCTGTGTTGTTTTGAGTTATACCAGTAGAAAAGACCAATTTAGCTTTAAATAAATGAAATATTGTAACATTGACAGATGGAACTGCCATTCCCTTATGCGTTACCCGGGCCACCAGACGATTCCTCCGAAGATTGTTTATTAAATGGTAAATACTTATTTATAATTTCAATAAATAGAATAGATATAGATAAATAGAATTATTCATTTCAGTAAATATTTAGAGACAGTAAAATTGTTAATTCATAATGATGCATAAGAATTAATGAGTTCTCATTGAACTGTTTCTATATGATTTCATCTGATGACTTTTCACTTTGAATCTGTTAGTAGATGACCTTGAAACAATGTCCTTCATAGATGATGGGTCTAACCCATTCCTGATGAATGAGGATTCTGTCTCCAGTATAGACATTGACATCAGTGTAATAGAAAAGGTAAGATTTCATCACCATGTATTGATACACGGAAAGTTGAGAAACAGACTGAATGAAAATATCTTAAGTTCATGTCATGTTAAGGACGAGGTAACAATGTTTCGACAGTGTGTCTGTATTTAATGCTAAACTATGTTAAGGACGAGGTTACAATGTTGTTACGATATGTCTGTACTTTTAAAGCTAAACTACGTTAAATACTAGGTGACAATGATGTGATGATGTGTCAGTACTTAAGAGCCAAACCATGTTAAGGATGAGGTAACAATATTGTTTCGATACGTCTGTCCTTGAGAGCTAAACTGTGTCAATTGCCAGGTGACCAGGTTGTGATGATATGTCTGTACCAAGAGGTCAACTATGTTAAGCAGTTAGTGACTGTTGATAAAATGTATCTGTACAGGGTGCCGCCCAACTGTCCCAGCTTACTAGCCCCTCACATCCCCACCCTCACGGGGAGGGACATGGCATTGGCAGCAAGGGAGGAAAACTTAGTGCTATGAGTCGCAAGAAGATGGGTGCTGGTAGGCCAAGGGTAAGTCCTACTATCTGTCTTTTATAAATATACCATTAAGGTGGTGATTATTGTAGATATGTGATTTTTATGTAGTTTGCAGACAAGCAAAATAGAAATTGTCTACAATGAGCTTTATTTGTCATGTGTTGCAGTTCACTGTATAACTTATGTATTGTGCACAGATCTAGATGGCACTGATGTAATATTTGAAGAAAAGCAGTAGACTTTTTAGCCTCTAAATGCTGTTTCATAACTGTAGATTATTTATTTGAGTGTCAAATCCGAAAATCATTGCTATAGGTTAAACTTATTATATTTCAAAAAACATTATTTCAGGGGAGACCACTTGCACCAGAAAAGAAGAAACGCCCTCCAACATTTGGGGAAAGGAAAAGAGGACCAAAGCCAAAATTAAAAACTGGTCAGCTTGGTATTTCTGGGCAGGTATAAACATTTTACTTCCTCTGACAGGATTTTTTGCCTCATATCTTCAAGAACAGTTTTCTTTCTGCAGCCAGTGAGATAATGCACATAAGGAAAAACTAGCATTTTCCTGCAATTGTTCCTTACCTGCATCATTTAAACTGAGAAATTTTCTATATGTTGACAGTTCAATATGTTGTTGTTTGTTTAGATAACTTCTGCACCAGCTGGAGAATCTAAAAATAAAGCCCAGGATGACGATGATGATGGAGATGATCATCCAACCACACTCATTTTAGCCAACTCTAAAGACGAATTTGTATTGGAACAGGTAAGAAAGTCTAAATATAGATAGAACTTATTTGAAAATTAGAAACGAAAAATTGTACAGTTGGATTTATCTCATTTGTACTATGTTTTTGAAGGGGGTTGATTTTGTAGCTTCAAAAGGCAAAGTGAATGCGTGGGGATTATTTTCACGATCAGTATTTCACCTTTATGTATTTGATATATGTTTTAACACATATGTAATCAGCCACAAACTTGTATTCATTGCTTTCCCTGGCAACAGTTGTGGTAATACTTGTATTTAGATATACTGTTTATATTGTTTCAGGATGTTTGTAAGAGCTGTGGTAGTTTTGGGAAGGGAAAGGAGGGCAAGCTTATAGTGTGTACCCAATGTGGACAGTGTTACCATCCTTACTGTGTCAGTGTCAAAGTAAGTATCAGTTTACATTGGACAGTGTCAAGTTTTGATATATAAATGTGCTCATATCTTATGTCACTGGTGAGAGGAGATATCCACCAGCTGTCTGTTACTTTATGGCAAAGGGTAGAAGGGCTTTCAGGAGGAAAAATACTTGTTCTCAAAATGCTTATGCTGTACACAGATCAATTTTAAATGCAGATTAAATTTCTCCTGTTTTGCCCTTTGCCAATCTGGTGAAAATAACAGATGAGCTGAAATTCATGTTTCTTGTTTTTAGTTGGTATTAAATAATGGACAATTTTCTGTGATGGCGATGAAACCCTGGATAAATGTTTCTAATTGTTGTATTTGTGTATAAATCTTAACAAGAATAAGTTAGGCTTAGTTTAACATATGCTTTCAAGTTATCACATGTGATGTGGTGGACTGTTTTAGGTGACCAAGGTTGTGCTACAGAAAGGATGGCGGTGCTTAGATTGTACTGTGTGTGAGGGATGTGGCAAACCCCATGACGAAGGTCGACTCATTCTGTGTGATGAATGTGACATCAGCTACCACATCTACTGTCTTGATCCACCACTTGACCATGTCCCAAAAGGCACCTGGAAATGTAAATGGTAAGAAGGATATCAGAAATAGAGCAAGGATATCCATCATTATTGACTAATCTTGTACATTAATTATGCAAAGAAATATGTAAAAAAAAAAATATAATTTTTTACTTTCAGAATATTTTATTGTCAAGATCTTAATGACAAAAGGAATTTGGTAACAGGCATAGCCCATGAAAGCCCTCTCCCTAAAATGATAATGATAATTCATTTAAAATGGATTTGGAATCATGATTTTAAAATTCCTTTCCAGGTGCGTGATGTGTGTGAACTGTGGGTCTACCACGCCAGGGTTTGGCTGTCAGTGGCAGAACAATTACACACAGTGTGGACCATGCAGTAGTAAACAGGAATGTCCAGCCTGTCAGAAATACTACCATGAGGATGAACTAGTTATCCAGTGTGTCCAATGTGACCGCTGGATTCATGGACACTGTGACCAGCTGAAGAATGAGGATGACGCTGAGCGTGCTGCAGATTTTGGGTACCACTGTCTGTTCTGTCGACCCAAGACTGGTCAGCCAGGTCCATGTAAGTTTGTGTTTCTTTACAACAGTCAGAGATCATCTTTGTTGATTTATTGTCTATTATGTAGACTCAATATGACCATATATACCTTAAAATAAAATCAATGGGGATAACCATTCTACATATCATCAGTTCCATTAGAATCAATCTATTTTGCTTCAAAACTTGTTAAAAGCATGAAAAATTGAACCATCAGAATTAACTACCTTAACTTTGCATTATTTCAGTTTGATATGCATTGATATTCTGTCTATAATGAATTTATCTTTTGTTATATTTTACTGAACAAATTTCATCAAATGACTGTATTATAACAGTGCCACCCCCACCACCGCCATCACCCCCAGAGGAGATAGAAATGAAGCCTCTCTCTCCACCACCACCGCCACCACCACCACCTCCCCCTCTGATGCCACTAAGGGAGCCAGGTAATACCAACAGTCACTTTACATAATGAGTTTGTATCATAAGTTTTTCATCTTCCAGCAGTTTCTTTATCTGGTTTTCCCTTCTGCTACAGATTCTCTATCAGGTATGTACTATAGACTAATATAGGTACTGTGTGTTATCTTATCCCTACATGCTTTGTATCGACTACCATGGTTCTTTGCACCGAAAATATTTCTTGAATTCAATTTTCATTGTGTTGTAAATTTTCTCTACTGTGTAATGTATTAATTTGATGAAAAACTCTCGATGAATCTGTTGTCTTCATTGGATCTGTTATTTTACAGAACCTCCAAAGAAATTTTTCTTGGATGGAGTGTGCCTGTCCGAGTCTGGTCACCAGCAGATACAGAGTATCACTGTCCAAGTGCCGAAGCCCAAACGTGTGCGAAAGAAGATTGAAGTGAAGCCGCCAGTCTCAGAGGGGGCTGGCATTCCTCCTCAAGGTCCTTCTGTTGCACGCTTAATGTCCATGCAGAGTCAGTCTTCTGTTGATGGTGAAGAATCCCTAGATATCCTCAAAGGTAAGGCATTATAGTAAATTTTTTCTTGTATGGTTGTACTTTTTCTTAGTTCAAAGCCCAATTAAAAGAAAATAATTAGTTTTTAAGGTAAAAGGAAATTGTATACCAATATTGAATATGATTTTTATTTTCTATTTTTGTTTTTTTAAATACTTCATGATCCTGAACCTTCATACTGTGGTAATGTTATTAATTTTATTCCTATCAGATGATGACGGAAAGTTGGTGGATCTTGGTGAGGGGTTAAGTATTCCCCCATCAGCCTTAATGGAAGGAGACATTGGACCTGATGGAATGGGACTCCTAAGTCCCACCCTCGCACCTGGACTGCCAGTGACTACTGATGGGGCACCTGTCCCAGAGAAAAAGAAGAGATGTAGACGTAACACAGTCAATATAGGTACTTTAGATCAATGTACAAACAGTCTCATGAAACTGGCTTTGTTTTTAACACACCACTACTTCCAGAACTTCTGCATCATTGGTTACTTAAAACTCCTTACATTATATTTTAACTAGAAGTTTGTTATGGCTATGCTACACAAACTTCAACCAAAAAGTTGGAAATTTTTCAATAACAAAGATTAATGAAAGAAGTATATTTTCAGCAATCAATATTACACTACAAAGCCTGCATCAATTTCAGCTATGTGATTATTGTGAAGAAAAATCTTGTGGCTTGAAAATATTCAGTGGTTTATGCAATCTTTTGATATATATGCCAAGTATTTTCAATCCTTTTTCTGTAATTTTTAAAAATTAACTATTAGTTTAAGACGTTATTAAATATTGTGATACAGGTATTGGGGGCTTTATGGTACGTAGCAGAGTAAGGCCACAGGCAAAACAACAGCAGACAGAGACAGTAGCAGCTACAGTAGAGGAGGGTCAGCCAAAACCTGAAGCAAACATTGGTAAGTAATAATCTAGTATTTAACATATATATTAGGGCTATACAGACAAACTTAATTGAAAATAAAGATAACGTACATCGCAAAAAGTGAGAGAATGTAATAGCAGGTCTTTGAAGGAAAGGAAATAGTAGGAAGAATTAAAGTATTAAGCTCTTTAATGAATGTATGAGTCTTTGAAAATTGAAGAATATCTTTGAAGTTATTTTAATTTTCTCATTGAACCTTTAAAGATGAAAAAAATGATTGCACAGCAAAAATCTCACATTCCAAACACTGAGTGTTTATCTAAAGCTCCTTGATGTGTGGGTGTGGAAATGATATGGAGTCTGAATTTTTTATCAAAATTTTTTTAATCCAGTTTCAAGACTGATATAGAACATTGTCTTTCTGTTTAACAGAAGCGACAGATAAACAGCCAGCTGATGGAGAAACACCTACTGAAGAACCCAAAAAGAAACGGATACGACGAACAAAGAAAAAGAGTGCTCTAGAAGAAAACTTCCCATCTTACATGCAGGTAGATCATGCAATGTTTTACTAAGGCTATTTTATACCCATGCTGCTTTACTAGTAGGTATACAGTAATCGCTTTGTTTGGATGTATTTTAGCTCATATTCACACTATCAGATTTTACAGCTTTGTGATATAATTTGATTTTTGTGGTCAAAGGTCACCCATGACCGCTTTTGAGAAAAAAAAAACAATTGCAAACAAGATATATCTTGAGTTACTCAGCAAATTTAGTTAATATTAGTAAATATTCACACATAGTTTTCCCCGTGTTTCAAAAACCATCATTTTGACTCCTGAAATTGACAAAGTACCCCCAGAATTCATAAATTTTTCCTCAATTTCATATAAAGTGTAATCCCAGGACTCTAAAAATTAACAGATTAGAGAATCCCAGAGAAAACCCAGTATCGGATTGCCAATTTCATACCTGAGTTCATTTTCATGGTCAATTATCAGAGTTGAGAAGTTGAAGGGCTTGTTTGACTTGTGGATTGAAAGACTTGTGTACAGGGTACCTCATGGATCCCTTAACAAATTTAGCTAATAATTGAATCACAATCTTATGCATTCAAATAATCTTTATCATTGTAGGAGGCCTTTTTTGGTAAAGACATACTTGAGAAGACGAAAACAACTAGCAAGGAGTCTGTGAAAATTGATTCTGGGTCAGACTTGGATGAGTCGAGGTCCTCTCCAATGAACCTTGATTTAAGGGGAGATAATCAAGCCATAGTTGGTCAGGGATTACTTCCAACACCCACAGTCAAGGTGCCATCCAGTAGTCACCTGCTGCCCTCTGTTGGCCAACCTCTCTTGAATCCCTTGGGTGTTACAGGAAGCAATGATGATTTACGTAAGTGTTATACTTGATATTCTGGGTTACACAGGTCAACAGTTAACTATCAAGCAGTTGAAAGATGTTATTGATGAAAGCATGTTTTGTTAATTGATCCATGTACCAATTAAGAAGAATAAGATGATATTTCTGTTTTGATTGTAGAAGACAGTGATCTAGAGTTACTGCCAGATCCATTACCACAGGATGAGGAGTTACTCAGCATCATCAACAAAGAACTGGCCAAGGACCCGAATGGTAAGAAAACACTTATAATATTTCAAGAAAGCTTTTGATGTTCTTGTGTAAAAAAAGTTTTTAGTTTTGTTTGCTGAAGTTGAAACTGGAGCATAGGGTAAAAGAGTAATAAGCTTTAGTATCTATAAAGAAACTTGGAGCTTGTGTATAAAATATACTGCTCATTAGAATAACATTAACTGTTTTTATGTTGATGGTTATATATGTCAACAGACCAACATCAAACATTATGTTGAGGGTTATATATGTCAACAGACCAACATCAAACATTATGTTGAGGGTTATATATGTCAACAGACCAACATCAAACATTATGTTGAGGGTTATATATGTCAACAGACCAACATCAAACATTATGTTGAGGGTTATATATGTCAACAGACCAACATCAAACATTATGTTGAGGGTTATATATGTCAACAGACCAACATCAAACATTATGTTGAGGGTTATATATGTCAACAGACCAACATCAAACATTATGTTGAGGGTTATATATGTCAACAGACCAACATCAAACATTATGTTGAGGGTTATATATGTCAACAGACCAACATCAAACATTATGTTGAGGGTTATATATGTCAACAGACCAACATCAAACATTATGTTGAGGGTTATATATGTCAACAGACCAACATCAAACATTATGTTGAGGGTTATATATGTCAACAGACCAACATCAAACATTATGTTGAGGGTTATATATGTCAACAGACCAACATCAAACATTATGTTGAGGGTTATATATGTCAACAGACCAACATCAAACATTATGTTGAGGGTTATATATGTCAACAGACCAACATCAAACATTATGTTGAGGGTTATACACTTCACACTTAAGCTTGGGCATTACATCATCATAAGACATACAGGTCACTTTCAATTAAAAGTCCTGAGTACTTTATTTTTTTACAGAACTACCAAATTTTCAATATATGATTTGTTTGACAGATTTACCAATACTCTCAAGTGGAACGATGGAACCAGAATCTCGTTCAGAGGAATCTAGTCAAAAGCCTGAACATCAAGCCAACCTGGATGGTATCCTAAGTCCTAGTATTGATGAGGATGAGAAAAACTTGGATGTTGACAAGATTTTTACTGATGGTGAGTAGAAATTTAGTGTTGTGCAATAATGCCAGCTGTGGTTTCTTTATATTTGTTGAAATAGTTGTGAACTTCAGTACTGTGACCTTACATGCTGTGAAGAAAAGAATAGTGTTTTTTATAAAATGATTTTAAGTGAGAAGTACTGTTGTAGACTTGGCAAGATAATTGAAATTCAATTAGATCGTAATTGGATCAGAATTTCTCATCTTTGTCTTTCACATCAACAGGTCTAGTGCACATGGATATTAAGACTGTAGAAGATATCTTTAAAGGTGTGCTGGAACCAGATCCTCGTCCATCAGGTATATTATAGTTTGGATGATTTACAAACATTTCAAATTCTTGGGTCAAAGTTCCATTTGGGGAAACTTAGATTAATTCAAACCTTGTTTGTCAGTAATAAATTTTGGCATACAGCCTTGTATCGGTAAGATCTCAGAGTAGTTGACAGTTGGACCAATTCTATGGGTTTTCCCTCGATACTCCTGTTTCCTCCCACAATAAGACTCCTTGCACATTTCGATCCCTGCCAACAACAGTGATTAATTAAGTTTAAAGCTTGTTTCACAATTGTTGTACAATGCTTATATTGATATCATTTTGATATGAAGATAATTTGTGAACTTTAGGTCCTCCTGCTCCCCCAGGATTCAACATGCCTGGTCCTGCCCCACACATTCCTGGACAGGAGCAGCCTCACCCTCCAGGCATGGACCACCCACAGGTCCCCATGAATCCAGGCATGGGGCAAGCACCACTGGCACCTCTGGTCATGCCACCACCCAAAGGCTTTCCCTCTAACTACAGGTAAGTCCCCATCTATCACTTAGTTTCCCTCTAAATACACATTAGTTTCCTTTTAATTATAGATTATTCTGACTTAAACTGACGGGTTAGCTTCTGTAACTACAGGTTCATTTCCCTCTAAATACGACTTATTTTTCCTCGAGGTTAGTTTCCGTGTAACAAAAGGTTAGTTGTCCTCGAAATATAGCTTAGTTTCCTTCTGACTATAGGTAAGTTTCCTTTTAGCGATAGGTTAGTTGATTAGTTCCTTCTATCTATAGCTTAGGTTCCGTCTAACTATAGGTCAGTTTCTCTGTAACTACAGGTTAGTCTAACAATAGGTCAGTTTCTCTGTAACTACAGGTTAGTCTAACTATAGGTCAGTTTCTCTGTAACTACAGGTTAGTTCCCTCTATCTATAGCTTAGGTTCCATCTTACTATAGGTCAGTTCCTCTGTAACTACAGGTTAGTCTAACTATAGGTCAGTTTCTCTGTAACTACAGGTTAGTTCCCTCTATCTATAGCTTAGGTTCCGTCTTACTATAGGTCAGTTCCTCTGTAACTACAGGTTAGTTTCCCTCAATCTAAGCTTAGTTTCCGTCTAACTATAGGTCAGTTTCTCTGTAACTACAGGTTAGTTCCCTCTATCTATAGCTTAGTTTCCGTCTTACTATAGGTCAGTTCCTCTGTAACTACAGGTTAGTTTCCCTCAATCTAAGCTTAGTTTCCGTCTAACTATAGGTCAGTTTAGTTTCCCTCAATCTAAGCTTAGTTTCCGTCTAACTATAGGTCCGTTTCTCTGTAACTACAGGTTAGTTTTCCTCAATCTAAGCTTAGGTTCCGTCTAACTATAGGTCAGTTTCTCTGTAACTACAGGTTAGTTTTCCTCAATCTAAGCTTAGTTTCCATCTAACTATAGGTCAATTTCTCTGTAACTGCACGTTAGTTTTCCTCAATCTAAGCTTAGTTTCCGTCTAACTATAGGTCAGTTTCTCTGTAACTACAGGTTAGTTTTCCTCAATAAAGGCTTAGTTTCCGTCTAACAATAGGTCAGTTTCTCTGTAACTACAGGTTAGTTTCCCTCTATCTAAGCTTAGTTTCCGTCTAACTATAGGTCAGTTTCTCTATAACTACAGGTTAGTTTTCCTCAATCTAAGCTTAGTTTCCGTCTAACAATAGGTCAGTTTCTCTGTAACTACAGGTTAGTTTTCCTCAATCTAAGCTTAGGTTCCGTCTAACTATAGGTCAGTTTCTCTGTAACTGCAGGTTAGTTTCCCTCATAATATGGTTATTGCATTTCTAACTTTAGGTTAGGGAAATTCCAGGATTAAATCTGGGGAGGAGTCGGGTGGCAGATGAATGTTTTTTTTGTAGGTGGTAAGGACAACTCTAAAATGTATTTTATGTGTGATTAGTGCTGTTACAAGTTCAACTATATGGATGACTGGATAAACAGGTGTTTTGCTAACATTGAAAATAAAATTCTGTGGGGGTTGCTTGAAGTAACAAATATAACTGTTTGGATTATTGGATTTAGCATGCTTGGATATTGAATAAATTTTATTGTATGGGTGGTTGGGGTATAAAATAATGCCTTTGGCCCATACACACATTTATTTCTGGAACATCCGTTCGTAAATACCAGAGTGAAAGTTGTAATATAACTACATTCTTCATCCTTGCATTGAAGTTCAGTTAATGGCATTACTCGATGTTAATATGCATTCAAATGTATTGAAACAGTCCAAGTTCCATGAGTCCTGGAGGCTTCCCAAACAACCAGCCACCATGGCAACAGGTGATGGCCCAGGAGGAGGAGCAGCAAGAACAGGTGACAAGTCGTAGGAACATGCAGAAGTGGGAGTCGGACGAGGAACTGGGAGAGCATGCCACTATATCAGCTGTTCTTTACTGCAATCTCAAACACCCAGAACTACGTCGTGAACACCCAGGTATGATTATCACACAATAGTTGTTTGATGTTTATGTTCATCCATTTTTGTTCCTCTGTTATAAACAATAGCGAGTTTATGGTCACTGATTTGTACCTATATTCTTATAAATACTCAAGCTTGTTAGTTTTAGTGTTTGCACCATTAAATATGGCTTGTTTTAACAGATTGGCAAGAAAGGGTGAAGAAGATAGGCAAGATCTGGAGGCAGTTACCATCAGATGATAAACAACCATATTTGGTATGTATAACATAAAGAACAAGATGTTTAGAGAGCTACGTCTATGATGCTTATACTTTGTCATGCTATACTTAACCAGTTTAAAGTCTGGCATTTTGACTTTGTTAGTATGAAAAAAATTGCTAGTTTTTAGATGAAAGTTTTAGTTGATATCATCGGCAGTTGTATTTTCCTAAAGATAAATCCAATCCAAAATGTGAAAGAATGTCTATTATTTTTTGCAGCTTCAAGCAAGAAAAAATCGATCATCTAGTAAAGGACAGAAAGCAAGAAAGGTAACACATTTACTAGTCCTCTTTAGCTAGACAGGTAACACATTTACTGGTCCTCTATAGCTAGACAGGTAACACATTTACTGGTCCTCTATAGCTAGACAGGTAACACATTTACTGGACCTCTATAGCTAGACAGGTAATACATTTACTGGACCTCTATAGCTAGACAGGTAATACATTTACTGGTCCTCTATAGCTAGGCAGGTAACACATTTACTGGTCCTCTATAGCTAGACAGGTAACACATTTACTGGACCTCTATAGCTAGACAGGTAACACATTTACTGGACCTCTATAGCTAGACAGGTAACACATTTACTGGTCCTCTATAGCTAGACAGGTAGCACATTTACTGGTCCTCTATAGCTAGACAGGTAACACATTTACTGGTCCTCTATAGCTAGACAGGTAACACATTTACTGGTCCTCTATAGCTAGACAGGTAACACATTTACTGGTCCTCTATAGCTAGACAGGTAACACATTTACTGGTCCTCTGTAGCTAGACAGGTAACACATTTACTGGTCCTCTATAGCTAGACAGGTAACACATTTACTGGTCCTCTGTAGCTAGACAGGTAACACATTTACTGGTCCTCTGTAGCTAGACAGGTAACACATTTACTGGTCCTCTATAGCTAGACAGGTAAAACATTTACTGGTCCTCTATAGCTAGACAGGTAAAACATTTACTGGTCCTCTATAGCTAGACAGGTAACACATTTACTGGTCCTCTATAGCTAGACAGGTAGCACATTTACTGGTCCTCTATAGCTAGACAGGTAACACATTTACTGGTCCTCTATAGCTAGACAGGTAACACATTTACTGGTCCTCTATAGCTAGACAGGTAGCACATTTACTGGTCCTCTATAGCTAGACAGGTAACACATTTACTGGTCCTCTATAGCTAGACAGGTAACACATTTACTGGTCCTCTATAGCTAGACAGGTAACACATTTACTGGTCCTCTATAGCTAGACAGGTAGCACATTTACTGGTCCTCTATAGCTAGACAGGTAACTTATTTACTGGTCCTCTGTAGCTAGACAGGTAACACATTTACTGGTCCTCTGTAGCTAGACAGGTAAAACATTTACTGGTCCTCTGTAGCTAGACAGGTAGAACATTTACTGGTCCTCTATAGCTAGACAGGTAAAACATTTACTGGTCCTCTATAGCTAGACAGGTAACACATTTACTAGTCCTCTGTAGCTAGACAGGTAACACATTTACTGGTTCTCTATAGTGAGACAGGTAACACATTTACTGGTCCTCTATAGCTAGACAGGTAACACATTTCTAGTCGTCAAATATACTTTCAAAAGTTCTTATTGTGATTCTTGGACTGGGGTAGATGGGAAAGTCTGTCAGGTTGATGTAGTGAAAGTAGAATTTATTTGAAAAACTCTTTCTGCCTTATGAAGAATGAAAAAGCCACCTTTTCAAACTACACTTAACATTGTATGTACTTGCAGGCAAAGCGAGAGCAGGCAGCAGCAGCAGCCATGGGACCTCCTCCTTTACCCTCCTACTCTCAGCCTACCACACCAGATGGTAAGTCCTACCACCTCATTTATCATCCTACTCTCAGCCTACCACACCAGATGGTAAGTCCTACCACCTCGTTTATCATCCCACTCTCAGCCTACCACACCAGATGGTAAGTCCTACCACCTCGTTTATCATCCCACTCTCAGCCTACCACACCAGATGGTAAGTCCTACCACCTCATTTATCATCCCACTCTCAGCCTACCACACCAGATGATAAGTCCTACCACCTCATTTATCATCCCACTCTCGGCCTTCCATGGCTGATGGTAAGTCCTACCACCTTGTTTATCATCCTACTCTCAGTCTACAATGGCTGATGGTAAATCTCCTTTTCTCCTTTACCCTCCTCCTCTCAGCCTACCACACCAGATGATAAGTCCTACCACCTCGTTTATCATCCTACTCTCAGCCTACCACACCAGATGGTAAGTCCTACCACCTTGTTTATCATCCTACTCTCAGTCTACAATGGCTGATGGTAAATCTCCTTTTCTCCTTTACCCTCCTCCTCTCAGCCTACCACACCAGATGATAAGTCCTACCACCTCGTTTATCATCCTACTCTCAGCCTACCACACCAGATGGTAAGTCCTACCACCTTGTTTATCATCCTACTCTCAGCCTACAATGGCTGAAGGTAAATCTCTGTTTCTTTTGCCATCTTACTCCCAGGCCCACCACACCTGATGGTTAGTTACAGGTTACAAGTTAATCTTACTTCAAATAATGCATTTTCAATATGTCTGGTCAACAAGAAAATTTAGTTTAGTTTTTAAATATCATCTTTTGGGATGAAGGCATTTTGATCAAATATGCTCTAAAAACTTCTTGGACAAAGATGATTAAATTTTCAAAAATTGATGGACCTGACTGTCATTGGGGCAGTGGGGCATGACCAAAAATTGAAAATATTTGGTAAAGTATTTTTAATTGATTTGGTGTAGATGATCCATGGTTGAAGGTGGAATCAATTTTGACGGTGGCTATGTGCCTCCCGGGGTCTGAGAGGCAACGAAAATTGCTAACTTTATGATTGTAATCAAAAATGATTTTATTTGATTGCTGTTGTGGAGATGAGCATCATAAGACCTCTTTGTTCACATTTTGAAATGTTAAAGGGATTAAAGTACTTATAAAACTTTACCGGCTTGATACATTTTTATTTTTCTGTACTGTTGGTTAAGTGTTGACACCTTTATTCTGCAGGCCTTGGCTCGCCTATGTCTGGTATGGCGCCAGGACAAGAGATCTGCAGCCCTCTTGGCCGCAGCAACAGCAACTCTCAAATCATGGCACCAAAGACACCAGATGGTAAATATTGGGGGAATCATGTCACATTCCTGAACTGATAAAGAATAATCATTTTACATAATCCATTGAAGCAGGTAAAATTAGATGTAATAAATGGTTACAGTTATTTGCGGGAAAGCAAAGATGAAAGAGACAAAAAATGATGAAAGCTTTTTAGAGCAAAGGGGGGAAAAAGACAAGTCTCATGGTGATCTATTGTCAGGTGTCATGTGTCGTCTTGTAACTTGTGAACATTATATCGTAATTTTTTTACCCTATTAGGTGTATTTTATGTTATCTCGTTTTGCTCAAATGGGGATGTTTAAATAGGTTCACAGCTATTAACATTTGTGAACATTGATTTACTTGATAAAGATGTATACACTTGATCTGTAGGTCAATCCCCCAGTCACTTGATGGGAGGTGTGCCACTAAGTCCTAGCCATCCTGGTGGAGTCCAGTCTATGATGCACCTTCAGGACCCCTACGCTCAGCCACCAGGGACTCCTATGTCTATGGACATGGCTGGGATGGGCCCTCGACCAATGCGCCCACAGATCCGGCCTCCAGATCCATATGCCCAGGCTCCTGCCACACCAAGACCTCATGACCCCTTTAGTCAACCTCGCCCACAGGGGCCATTCCAGCCAGGGATGAATATGCAAAGACCACAAGACCCATATGGGCAGCACCCAGGGACACCTCGCCAGCCAAACATGTACCCTCAACATGAGGCCACACCACGCCCTCCTGGGCCATACAACCATCCTGCCTCCTCGCTACCCCCTGACCAAATTGGGGGACCCTTCAGAGGACCCCCAGGACGAGTGCCTGATCTATTCAACCAAGAAAACAATGCCTACTCTCAACAAATGGCAACAGGAAGAAGTTCTGTACCAACAACACCTCAACAGTCCCCGTCAAAACCTCAGTGGCCTGGTATGGCCCAGGAATCTGACCCATATGAGCATCCAGTCCCTACTCCAAGACCTGTGATGCCTAGTAGTGTGGAGGGCATATCCTCACCGTCTACTCCACAGACACCAACATCACAGCCCTATGATCCATTCTCACAGCACCCTTCAGTGCCCACTCGTTCAGGACCGCTACCGGGCATGACTAAACCAATGTTGTCCAGACAGGCCTCTGTGACATCTGACCCATATGCACACCCTCCCTCTACTCCAGGAGGCCCTATGAATCGATCTGATGATCCTTATGCTTTCTCACCCCCCACACCACGCCCTGTGTCTGAGTCTTACAGTCCCCGTTCTGCTGGAAAGGCAGAACTCTCTCCCCAGCAGGGGGCTCATCGCCCTATGGTTGGAGACCCTTATTCCCAAATGTTACCAGGAAAGGGCCCAATGCCTGGGCAGCCAGGGCCACCAGGGCCAGAGGGATTTATCCAGCATCCCAACATGGCAGGAGGTCCACAGCGGTCGATGCCTGGTCCCCAAGGACAACAAGTCCCTTCAGCAGACTCTTTTGGGATGCCAGTACGCCACCCATTTCGAGCACCAGTGCCACCCACTTCACAAGCCAGACCACATGGCTACCAGGAACCTCATATGCCACAAGGTCCACATCATCATGGTGGCATGGAGCCACCAAAGGAGCCGTCTGTGGTATGTCGTTTTCAATGCCATTGTGTAGGCATGGTAATGGTCACAGTTTGTGGCATGGTGTACTATTTGAAAAGGTTGAGGTTGTGGTCAGTTGTGGTCAGCTTTGAAATCATTTCTAAATGACTGGTAGATTTCACAATAGAGTTAATTGTGATTGGTTTTATATCTCGTTGTCAACAACTTATTTGTCCATACTTTGACTGGATAAGTGGCTTGTACTGGGGTTGTGATGATGTGTCAATGCATGATTGGAGAGAGTAACTATGGTGTACAGTATTGGTAGGAATGAACAGCACATCTTACTTGCACGGCTATCTCTCTGTCCGACGCAGCCCTTTAAAGGTCTTATACAAGTAATTTAGGTGATGTTCTAATCATTGAATTGTCATATTCAAATCATATACAAGCCTCAAAAGCTAAGACAGATCATCATAAAAGTCCTTCATATGTTCACAATATTATAGATTGCCAAGGGGGAGGGGACACCTAATTGAATGACTTTACCAGGGATTTCATACCAATATTATCCTGTAATTAAGCCAGCAAATGAACAGAGAATCTGGGAATTTCAGTATAATTTCTTGCCGTTTCTACGGAATCTACATAGTATGTGGTCTTATAACCAGACTTATTTTCCGATATATTTTATAGAGATCTGATGTCAAACAAGGTACTTGCACTTATAGGCGAAAAAGATTTACACGCATTGCTCTTTATATAAGTATTATAGCCACATGTACAAGGAAATTTTGGAACTTTTATTAGAAGGTGAACTTTATTACTCATCACAGATCTAAAGAATAATGTCGGTTGAGGATTAATGAGTAGTGTTCGGACAGAGAGACTGCCTGTTTCTAATGTAGTATCTTAATTGGTGGTGGAATTATATAAATGAAGTAATCACTGAAAACTGATACACGAGTCTTTCTTAATCAACTATATAACCATTAACAATAAACTAATGTTGTCATCTATGTGTGGCTTATGTTTATGAGCTACTAACATTTTAACATTAATGTCAATTCCAGGTCATCTTCTTGTATCTTGTGTAAGAGTTTTTTGATGAAAATTTTCATGAAAATTAAATGGAATCTAGATTTGAAATAAGGTCTGTTTAATACATCATTATTTATAAAAATGCCTAAATTTCTTATCAATGATGCGATGGTCTCAAATTTTTGCATATTTAAAACTACAAAATGCTTGAAATCTATAGTAAATATTTGTTAGCACAGCTGTTGTATCTGTTATGTGCTTGTAATATGTTTTACCTAGTGAACTTTATCACTTAAGTCCTGCACATCCAGGTGTAACCTAGGCGTGTTGTGTAGTGTATCCTGCAAACCTAGATGTGTTCAGGTGTAGTACTAACCTGCACATCTTGGTGTGTTAAGGTGTAGTATTACTTTGTACACCTAAGCGTGTTCTGGTGTATTTGCACATCTATATTTAGTTATCTTTAGTGATACAGTATTAACACAACTGCACAAAACATCATTGCAAATTATGTTTGTTATTTTGGCTGTTAGTCAGAACTACTGTGAAACACCTGTTTATCCTACAAAACATGTCTATAGTCACACTCAGGAAAACATTTGAAAAGGTTTGGAATAATTTGCAATGATCTTTCTTGTGCATATAATAATGTGTAAATGTATTCCCTGTTATGTATTTGAATGTTTGACTGCAATTTGCTTAAAGTTAGTTATTGAATGAAATATGCATGTGTATTGATTGGTTTATTCTACTGCTGATGCAATATCTAAATACATGGCTAGCAGTTTTTGTTTTATATTAGAAATTTGTTCAGTAATTTTGTTGAACATGAGAAATTTTGGTAGGAAAGCTTTTGTGTAGAAGAAACATCAATGACAAGAGCAGTATTACTTAGTATATAAGCTGTTGGACAGAACAGTGTCAATATTAGCAAGTTGCAGTCACTAGCCTCATATTGGATACACCATCTCATACTTTTCCATTCTTTACTCTTAGAGAATTCAAAAACAGAATTTACCTTGAAATTCACAGAACAACCAGACTTTATAATCCAAGGTAATGGGTACTGTATAGGATTAAAAAGGAACTGTCATGGAGTAGTGAATAAGTTAAGTTCATGTCCTAATGGCCTTAAATAATGACGTAACTGATCTCATGCTGATTTTCATACCACTGCTAAAATAATGTGTTCAGTACGTATATTTACATTAAGTAGCAGGCCTTAATATTTGGGGTATAGAAGATGGTCAGTACCATTGTCAGTCCTTTAAGAGAGTTGCCACATAATTCTTGTCTTCTAATCTCGCATCATGTAATACAGAATAGCATACATAACATTATTGCATTTTCTTCAATTTGAAGTATGAGTTAATGAAAAAGAAAAAAAATCAAACAAGAATTCATCCTCTGTATATAAGTAACGACTTTCTATGAAAGTAAATCTATAAAGTTAGAAGACTTTGTATAATATTGATGTACTGATACCCTCTACCTTGGATTAAATTGATTCCTGATGGAACGTTTTTGAAAAAGAAAAAATAAACTGAAATGAAATTTTAAAATCATATTAAGGAATAAGTTATTTTAATGATATACTAGTAATAGAAGAGACTTGCATGAGATTTTGTATCCAGTATCATAAATGCTTCCTATGCTAATTTTTATCTATTTGAGTTGACAATCTCTCCTTATTTTAATTTTATTAGCTTTGTGTGTTCTGTGGTGTTATTTTTTTTCCTTTCTATTTTTGTGTGTAACTCACCAAAACTTCTGTTTAAGTTTAACCTAGTGTGCTGCTCTGACCTTTGACCTCATTGTTACCATAGTTACAGCAGATGTTCGCTGCTGCCAGTAGACGCCACGCACAATTCCCTTTCTCCGGAATGTTTTCCACACTTAAGCACACTTATTTGGTAAGTGTAGGGATGATGTTCCTTTTTTCGACTTTTGTTTCTTTTTTTTATGTTTGTTTTGTTTTTTTTGTTTCTTGCATCTTTTTTTGCTGGTTTAACAGAAGACCGTTGCTTTAGTGTCAAGAAGGACATGTTTTTATGATACCAATTGTCTGAATTATTGGCATGTTTTATTTTAACATGTTGTGCGATCTGTTATGATATTGTACACAGTATTTACTTCCAACAAGTCAAGACATGGTGAGATTCTTGTGAAACTGAGTTTTCTATAAAGAACTTATGTCCTGCATGTGCTGCTAAGTCTTACTAGGGCTTCCAGGTGGTTGCTGTGAGGTCATGAATCATGACTAGAGACAATTGTTTTCAGATCCCATAACTCATTGTAGTTTGGAGTGACCATTTAACATGTTCTAGTGGTCTGTAGTACTTCTGTATGCGTTTTACTTATGGTATCTTGAATGTGTTTGATGCCTTGTTTAGTAAGTCTAGTATTCTTATCTCTAACAAATGTCAAATAATGTTTAACTTTGTTTCATCAATATCTGTACATATCCTGTTTCCTATCCAATTCTTTGTCCTTAAAGTTGATGAAAGGCATGTCCTCTATGCTTTTTTTCACATAACACGGTATGTACATTTGTCAGTGCACGCATTGCTTTAGAGGGCATTCTGGATGTGTCTAGATTGTCATCTGGTGTGTTTGTCTCTACAGTTGGTTATGTTGTCCATCAGAAGGAAGTAACATTCGGATCAAAGTAGTCAGCTTATGCCACGCATGTTGTGGCACATTGTGCAGCTGTGGACTTTTTTGTTCTCACCATAATATTGTAGGGAGGGCATAAATTATCTATTACACATGTCTGTCACTTCCACTGTCATCACTTATGCAACTGCACTTTATACAGAGATCTATCTGCAACAAAAATATTATAATTAACTACAATTATACCTGGGATGAGTTCCTTATTTAAGAGTTCTGAGGTCAAGGTGAAAGAAACTATTTATAATATTTTTACAAATAAAATTTGTCAAACTTTTATTAAAATTTTGAGGGAGAGACAACAGTAATGTCTTATAGACATTTCTTTCTTAAAAGGGAAAATGAACTTTTCCTTTTCTTCAGTGGGTTAAAAGGAATTTTGTCCAAATTTAATGAGGAACGCTAGTGGAAACTTTGTGTTGTGTGTAGCCTAGCGGCTATACGTATCAGGGGAGCCTATCATAACGAAATTGTCCTGTAGAACATAACCAGTCAACAGCACTCACAATAAGGCACTTAACACCATGATTAAATTAAGATGTTGAACATGTGATATTTTATTATAATGTTATAATGAACTGGTTTGATCCTGTATGATTTTGACAACTGTGGGATGAATAACAGGTGAGTGATAGTAGCCAGTCTAAATAGTAGTTTGAATAAGTTTAACTTTCCATTGAAGATCTTAGATGAGAGAGGATGTAGAACATTGTGTAATACGTGAATGATTCAGGTCAGTTGTTAGATATACTTTCAAGTTGTCATATTTGCTTAAAGGTCCTCAGTATGAATTGTACTATATTAACATTCTTTGTGATAAGTCCATCTCTAAGCTTTTACATGACACCTACATTGCCTAAGGAGTGCTTTTCTTATTCGTTCCTCAATAGTAAGATATAAACACACCCGCTCTTTCACTACATGAGAAGCAATAGAGGCTGTACCAGATCATTCTGTCCTGCTTTAATCTACAGACAATATTCACTATCATGGTCAGTCATTAATTTGTGCATCTCGTTTGAGGTTTGAGGGTGTAGTATTAGCATTGTGTGTGGTGCTGCATCTCTCCATCCCTGTACAGGTTTATAGTCCATGTATTGGAAGACATTTCATGCATGGACATTGGACTTCATAGGAAAGTGTGTTGCATGATAAAACTGGGTCATCATGACCTTGATTTGATCTTGACCTGTTCTAAAAGTTCTAAAATTATGCAAGATTTCAGATATAGAGTTAAGCAAATCTTCAGTGCACAGACTGCAGACTTATGAGAAGGTATTACATATGTATTTAGTATAGAGATGTACAACATGATCAGATTGTCACAAGGGATATATAAGGACTTCAAATTGCCCAGTAAAGTTCTATAATACGGAAACAAGTGTCTTGTTCACTGATGGCAAACATGCTCAACTATTATTGCCTAAGCATTACATTCAGACACTCTACCAAAAATCTCTGTGTGATCTGTAGCTGGAGGGAGAGTAGCGATGTGTTTTAGGGATAGTTGTCAGATTGAGGTTACAGCTGTTGACCATCACAAGATGTTTTTTTGGCATCTTCACAATTTTAACTAAATTACGTATTGTTCCATGTGTTAACATCATGATGGACTATTATTTGTATGTTAGAATGGGAAGATTAATACATAATGAGAAGTTGCTGTATCACATATCAAAATCAGTATGCCACAATCTATACTTAACCTTTGACCTTGGCCTAAAATACTTTAGATACATTATTAATAAAAATTTAGTTAATTGCAAAATATTGAGGTAACATTGAATTTATGGAAATTGTGGCAGTTTTACTCCAATGTTTTAAAACATCTAAACAAATTTGGAAATGTGTATATTAACTTGTTATTGTACTAATTAGTTTTATATGCTCTTTAACTGTTGGTTCAGTATTCATCCTCCTGTTTTTTTCATGCATCATCGTGTTTTTACAGTTACTTCTGTAAGAATTTATACTAAATGTAAAGATTTTTGATCAGCAGGGTATTTGCTTTTTTGGTTTAAACAACATTTATTCACAATTAATCAGATGTACAAATATATTTGTTGTGTCACATAGTGGCAAACCTTAAGTTAATCTGAACAGGTGTCATTGTGAGCGACAGATACTAGGAGACAGTTCAGGCAACTTTTCTGTTGACAATATGTCTTATTCATTTCTATACAATATAAACTGAATGATAATAGTAGTATCAGTGATGTGGGAAGGTGAGGATGGGGAGGAACTCCAGAGGAATAGTTGGTATTTATTTATAAAAAAATTACGTAATGGAATTGAAAGCTAATAATTCTTAGAACATCTATACAAGTTCTGTGAGAAGAAAGGAATTTTTGTGTAGGGTGGCAGTGGACCAATGATGGACAAACACAGAGACATTCACCCACAGCAGCTGAGAGACATCCTGGCTGAACAGACGAGGAAACGACAGCAAAAAAAGGAAATGATCAATAAACAGATAGAGGAAGGAGCTCCATCTTCTTGTCTTCCTTCACCTCATCCAGGTAAGTTATATCTACAGGGCATCATGCTTTCTAACCCAGATTCATACATATGAGTATAATTCCTGTTCTGTTAGGACTTTGGTACCTGGTTGGTCAACTTTTGGTGTTGGTGGTGGAGGAAAAGGGCAGTAGGCTTATTGCCAGACAATGTTTTGTAAACAGTGGCATACTTAACTAGTGGTTATTAGTAAACTGGTGTGTTTTGTAAACAGTGGCATACTTAACTAGTGGTCAATAGTAAACTGGTGTGTTTTGTAAATGGTAGCATACTTAACTAGTGGTCATTAGTAAAATGGTGTGTTTTGTAAACAGTGGCATACTTAACTAGTGGTCAATAGAAAACTGGTGTGTTTTATAAACAGTGGCATACTTAACCAGTGGTCAATAGTAAACTGGTGTGTTTTGTAAACAGTGGCATACTAAATAGTGGTAATTAGTAAATCAGTGTGTTTTGGAAACAGAAACATACTTAACTAGTGGTCATTAGTAAACTGGTGTGTTTTGTAAACAGAAACATACTTAACTAGTGGTCATTAATAAACTGGTGTGTTTTGTAAACAGTGGCATACTTAACTAGTTGTCATTAGTAAATCAGTGTGTTTTGTAAACAGTGGCATACTTAACTAGTGGTCATTAGTAAACTGGTGTGTTTTGTAAACAGTGGCATACTTAACTAGTGGTCATTAGTAAACTGGTGTGTTTTGTAAACAGTGGCATACTTAACTAGTGGTCAATAGTAAACTGGTGTGTTTTATAAACAGTGGCATACTTAACTAGTGGTCATTAGTAAACTGGTGTGTTTTGTAAACAGTGGCATACTTAACTAGTGGTCATTAGTAAACTGTTGTGTTTTGTAAATAGGAACATACTTAACTAGTGGTAAATAGTATTACTTAAACTTCGAGAGTGACATCACAGTATTTTAAAATCTTTACCTTCCATTTGCTGTGATGCTTTATTCAAGGCTTGTCTGATTTACTTGTATTAATATTTACCTTCATTAGAGTTCAAACATAGAGGTCAATGGTAGAGATTAGAGCTGAAAGGTATAGAAGATTTTAGGTCAAAGTTGGAGATAGTTCAAGGTTAGAGGTCAAATGTAGAGGAGAGGGTGGAGATAGGAGGTCAAAGGTGGAGATGATTACAGGTCTCAATTTGTAAAGAGAAGGGTCAGAGGTGGAGGAAATTATAGTCTAAAAATAAAGAAGAATGAAGTCAAGGTGGACATTAGAGGTCAAGTCTTTATGAGATGGGGGTGAGATTTGGGGGAGAGTTGAAGGGTATGGCATTGTTGGTTTAATTTCTGAATGGCATGACATTGTTGGTTTAATTCCTGAAGGGTATGGAATTGTTGGTTTAATTCCTGAGGGGTGTGACATTGTTGGTTTAATTCCTGAAGGGCATGACATTGTTGTTTTAATTCCTGAAGGGCATGACATTGTTATTTTAATTCCTGAAGGGCATGACATTGTTGTTTTAATTCCTGAAAGGTGTGACATTGTTGGTTTAATTTCTGAAGGGCATGACATTGTTGTTTTAATTCCGGAAGGGCATTACATTGTTGTTTTAATTCCTGAAGGGTGTGACATTGTTGGTTTAATTTCTGAAGGGCATGACATTGTTGTTTTAATTCCTGAAGGGTATGACGTTGTTGGTTTAATTCCTGAAGGGTATGACATTGTTGTATTTGTACACACAGATATGTTTGGCTTTGCTTTAGTGAAGAGTGAATCTCGTGTTGAAAATGGGAATTGTGAATGTGTTTTGAAAGTGTGACTAGTGCATTCATGCCAATCTCTCACTTTTCTTGTTGAAGACAGTAATGTTTTTGATCTATATGGTATGTAGTTATTATGATGTGTTGCTATGACTACCTCTCAGGTGGTCCAGGTGGTTTCTCCCCTGAAGAGGGGCCACGATTCCCTGGCCCTGGAGGTCCTGGGATGGATAGGTGGCCCCACAGCCAGCAGAGACCTCCTCAGCCAAGACACTTCAGACCTCCAGGTACATCAAGCAAGGATTTGCATAATATGAAATAGCTGTGTCCTGTAGCACACATATGTACTGATACTGTAGAAATAGGAATTGTTAATGTATACAATGCTGATTGCTCAGGGTCAAAGCCAGTATGTGTTGAAATGTTGGACTGCACTATATAATCGGATTATAGACATCACAGTTACGTGAAGCACATGTATTACTTATTAGTCATGATTATATGAAGATTTCATTGAAAACTTAATGAAAAGGGAAGTCTTCACCTATTCTAGTGAATCAAGTCTTTTTATTTATTTGTATGCCTGTATACCAAGGCAGAGGTCATCCTGATTTTTGATGTCATGAATGTGAGCTGTGGTTTAATTGAATTCAAGAATCATTCACTTCATTTTATAGGTATTTGTCAAACATTCAAGTAATGAGTAGCATGCCTAGCTCTTATACATGAGGTTCCTTCATACGTTTAGACAAAAATGAACCCACATTTATTTTGATACATGTTATTTTTACGTTTAACATTTTGTCATCAATGATAATGAATGAGTCAAAATTATAAAAAAAAAAATGTTGGTCTGCAGATATGGACATGTTTATTGGGGTACGACCTGGTGCACCTGGAGCAATGAGACAGCCCCGCCCCCCTGGGCCATTGTCCCAACACAGCCAGTTCTCACCCCGGGGTACTTCTCCTCAGATGTCTCCTGTGGCGGGGCAACATTCAGTGTTTAAGCCTCAGGTATGTACACACCACCCTACTGTAATTGAGAAAAGATTGATTTCATTAATAATTTGTAGAGATACTCTGTCTATAGACTTCTGTTTTATATAGAATGCTTGACATTTCCCAGTAGACTGATGTGAATCTATTATAACTTTCCTTGCTATTTCCTCCAAAGTGATTTAAAAGGTAGCGACAGTACAGAATATCTTATGATCTCAACACCAAAAGATACTATTATAATACGTGAGAAAATTATATTGTTGTAAAACTCTATGATTTACACAGTATAGATGGCAATAGATTTACATTGTTTTGTCAGCAATTTCTGGCCGGGAAACTTTTTTCTGCAGCCATTTTGCCATTTGAAAAATGTTTTGACGATCAAATATGCTGTATATTATGTGCTGCCTAAGCAGATTTTCAAAAATGAAAACACATAATGCTTTTAACTGGTTCCTCTGTAAGTGTATTGGTATGTATGACTGGTTCACACTTACCCGATAGTATCATAACATCATGTTCTACACCTGATCAGATTCTGGTTGACACTTACCCGATAGTATCATAACATCATGTTGTACACCTGATCAGATTCTGGTTCACACTTACCCAATAGTATCATAACATCATGTTCTACACCTGATCAGATTCTGGTTCACACTTACCCGATAGTATCATAACATCATGTTCTACACCTGATCAGATTCTGGTTCTCACTTACCCGATAGTATCATAACATCATGTTCTACACCTGATCAGATTCTGGTTCACACTTACCCTATAGTATCATAACATCACATTCTACACCTGATCAGATTCTGGTTCACACTTACCCTATAGTATCATAACATCATGTTCCACACCTGATCAGATTCTGGTTCACACTTACCCTATAGTATCATAACATCATGTTCTACACCTGATCAGATTCTGGTTCACACTTACCCTATAGTATCATAACATCATGTTCTACACCTGATCAGATTCTGGTTGACACTTACCCTATAGTATCATAACATCATGATCTACACCTGATCAGATTCTGGTTGACACTTACCCTATAGTATCATAACATGTTCTACACCTGATCAGATTCTGGTTCACACTTATCCGATGTTCTACACCTGATCAGATTCTGGTTGACACTTACCCTATAGTATCATAACATCATGTTGTACACCTGATCAGATTCTGGTTCACACTTATCTGATAGTATCATAACATCATGTTCTACACCTGATCAGATTCTGGTTCACACTTACCCTATAGTATCATAACATCATGTTGTACACCTGATCAGATTCTGGTTCACACTTATCCGATAGTATCATAACATCATGTTCCACACCTGATCAGATTCTGGTTGACACTTACCCTATAGTATCATAACATCATGTTGTACACCTGATCAGATTCTGGTTGACACTTACTCTATAGTATCATAACATCATGTTCTACACCTGATCAGATTCTGGTTGACACTTACCCTATAGTATCATAACATCATGTTCTACACCTGATAAGATTCTGGTTCACACTTACCCTATAGTATCATAACATCATGTTCTATACCTGATCAGATTCTGGTTCACACCCTATAGTATCATAACATCATGTTCTACACCTGATAAGATTCTGGTTCACACTTACCCTATAGTATCATAACATCATGTTCTACACCTGATCAGATTCTGGTTGACCTTACCCTATAGTATCATAACATCATGTTCTACACCTGATCAGATTCTGGTTGACACTTACCCTATAGTATCATAACATCATGTTCTACACCTGACCAGATTCTGGTTGACACTTACCCTATAGTATCATAACGTCATGTTCTACACTGATCAGATTCTGGTTGACATCAGAAATAACCTATTGTTTGTGGTTGTATTTTATTGTTAGTAAACCTTTTTGCTTCATTAGTTTGTGTTAATAAGGTATATAGATTTAGAAAATATGGATTTCTACCCTCTCCAACCCAAGACACTTTTCAAAGGCACTAAATGAAGAATTAATTATGAATAAAATGGATAAAAGTTGTGTAAACTTCTTTAGTCAAGGTTGCCCTTCTCTAAGGTGATAAATATAGTGCATTTTAAAAATGTGTTTTTGTCCAAGTAGAAAATGTTCTAAAGGAAAAATTCATTTTTTGCATATTCAGCTACTACAGTTGGTCCAGGAGCGTATGCGTCAGGGTCAGCAGGCTAGCTCTGGCAAGCCTTCCCAACCTTCTACCCCCGGGGCACAGCCTGCTCCAGGTTATGAGCAGTTCAGTCCAGCTGGTGACCTCCCAAAGATGCCATTTGACCCTAACAGGCCCCAAAGTCAAGGGCAATCAGTATCGGCACCCCAAGGTCAACAGCCAACTGTGAAACAGGAACAGAAAGAAGTATTGCCAGGGAAAGCTGAGGAGACAGGAGGAAGAGTGGCCAAAACACAGAAACAGGCCATGTCATCAGAGGACGAGAAACAAGACACAGAAGATGAGAATATAAGTGACCTACTGGGTAAGAGTTGGAGATGATACTGCGAATGTGTTTTAAAGGTTTCAATTTTTGTGGTTGGTCATAATCTGAAACGGCTGGTATTCAAATAAATGAAAATAAGATTGGGAATATGGAATTCAAAAAAAAAAGTTTATGGGTTCATTTCTGAAAATGTGTTTATTTTGATATGTGTTAATGATTTCAGACAATGATGGTTCATTTGACATATTGAAGTATGCTGATCCAGAGCTAGATTTTGATGACCAGGGTAAAAGTATACTTGATGACCTTGTAGAAGAGAGTAAGACAGAAGATTCAGAATCTGAAGTTAAGAGTGAAATAGATGGACCAGGATCCAACAAACCTGAAGAAAAGGAAAGTGCAGAGACACAGGATTCCATTAAGATGGAAGATGATAAATCTGAAACAGGCCCCAAGTCTGTAGCAGCCATGGGAGCTGTTGATTTCCAGGCGAAGTTCCTTGAATTCAGTAAGAGGAAACAGGAGGAGCGCAATGGAGATGGCACTCCAGGTCCCTTGGATCAGAAGCCCTCCATCAATGAGGAAAACAAAAACAAAAGTCAGATTGCAGCCATCCTACAAAATACAGAACACATGCGCCCACAATTGGATCGACGTGACTCGCAGAAGTCCGACAATGGATCTGTGGGAAAAGATCTTCTGCCCCGCACACCATCAGGGACCCCTACAGGCATACCCTCAAGCCTGGGTATGGATCAGACTACTATGGGGCAATCTGGTTTACCACTGGGATCACGCTCCTCTTACAATTCAGGAATGCCTTCACCTCTACATCAGATGGCTCAAGTATACCCAGGTTCTCACCCACAGCCGTCACCCTCTTCTACAACAGGGAAATACCCCCAGCAAAGTCCAGGAACACCAAGCCTACCCTCACCAAAAGTATTACCATCACCTAAAAGCAACATTCCATCTCCAAGGACACCAAATGTTCCATCACCCTTTAGTCAACAGTCTGGTCTTGGTGGACAGTTATCTCCCTTCTCACAAGCAGTTCAGTCTCCATTCTCTCCACCTGTATCATCAGCAACACAGTCTCCATTTAGTGCACCTCCTGCAACATCTTCAGCTCCTCAGTCTCCGTATGGGCCTCCAGGAAGGACTCAGTCACCTTTCACCCTCCCAGTGTCAGGGAGCACAGGAAACAGCCAGTCCCCATTTGGAGCCATGTCGCAGCCGTCCCCTATGTCAGCCTCACAGGCACCAGGCCAGCGATCTCCCCGTGGAACCATCACTCCCACCAACCAGTACATGCAAGGAACATATGGTCAGCCAATGATGCCAGTACCACCTAGGGGTGCAACGACTCTTCAGCCCACTCCTAATAGCATCCTGTATGGTCAGTCATCTGCAGCCCAACAAATTAACAAAACCCAAACAGGAATGTCTGGACCCCGAATGCCTTTCACATCACAGGGCATGCCTCAGCAAGGTCCACCTCAGTCAGTAGATCATCAACATCAACAGCAGCACATGGAGATGACCTCACCAGGTGGAACTCCCGTAATGAGAATGCCAAGGACATCCCTTCCAGAGGGCATCGGATCAGAACAGGCTATGCAGTTTCAAAGCCAACAGCAGATTCCTGCATCCATGTACCAGGGTAACATGCAGGGCCCTCGGCCTCAGGGTGGTATGATTGGAGCACCAGGGCAGAGTCAGCCTCCTCCTGGACACCCAGGGATACGTATGCCAGGGATGAGACCCCCTACTCCTACAGCAACAACAACTGCTCAGTCCAAGGTCCGACTCCTACAGGACCAGCCCTTACTCATACAGGACCTGCTCGATCAGGTTTGTCACCATACTAGTTTGTAGACTTCACATTCACTTCACCTAGTCACATCAAGGAAGGTTCCTAGACTACTAACTCAGATATTAACACTTAAGTAACAGTTTTTGTCCGTTGTAGTTGTACTGACACAGCAAAGCATTTTCTAAGACTGAAACAAGATATCAACATTTGACTCGTTTTTTTGGTCCATGATGAGTCATTTATATGGCTGTAAGTCAGATATTGTCACAAATATGTGTGATATTTTCCTGACTTCACACAAAATTTGTGTGAACTTTTCTTTGTTTCAACTTGTTTCTTTTGTTTCATGATTTATTAACAAGAAATAATTAACTGGGGTTCATTTATTTCATTATTTAATGCTCACTGCTGTTAAGTTGATTGCTTGAAGGGACCAAGCCAAATCATTGAAATGGACACTGGAATATTTAATCTGTCTACTAATAGTTTGGGATAGAGATTGTTAGCCATTTTACTGCTGGTTTGTAATATGAATCATATGTGGCATGAAAATCACAAAAAAATGGAATTCTCTTTTCACAGTGATATATTTATTAGATCATTATTTTACCCAAATATCTCCAGCTCTTCCTTTAAAGGATAGAATATCACTCGTGTTCTGGGAACAGCCTTCCGATACTCGCGCGGGAAATTCAGAAGTCATTGGTTAGCTTTATGTATATGAATTAATATCAATTTTAAACAATAAAATTTCGAAGATCCAAAGTTGAAATTTGTGGGAAAGTATGCTTTAAATATAGAGAGAAAAAGATAGGGTATCTATTGTGACGTGTTTGGAATTGCCCAGCGAGTGATGAAATTCTATGGTTTCATTCTTTATAAACAGGTACTGGAAAAGAAATCCTTGGTCAATACGCAGAAAAACGTTTTTGGTTCTGGCATGCACTCCTGGAACCCAGAACAGGCGAGTTTAGACATATTTACCAAAACATGGATTATTTTCTTTCTTGATTCAAGAGAAAGTGGGGAGTTTACATCCAAGGAAAACTTTCAGAAGTTGTTGAGAAATTTGTAGCATACTTAATCCTTACAAGTTTTGGCCTGGTCTCTTTGGTCTGTTAATGCTTCTTTCACTTTAGTTTTTGCTTACTTACATACATTAAGAGCTCTGTGATATCCTCATTGTATTGCCTGATCAAGTAGTTCAGCCAATTATTGGGTATGTCATTATGTGAGGTTTTCACAGTTGAAAAAAAGATGAAATATGATGAGGATATTGTACAATTCACGTGTAACTGCACATGTACACCTAGTATTTCAAAATAGCTTTTATTTTGGATAACATATTTAATCAATAGCTATTGTTCTTTTTTTTTTTTTTTTTAAATTATCAATATTTAATCATTTGCTGATATTTTGAAAGATATCTTAGGATTTTTTTTATAAAGATGATGCACTGAGGATAGTTTGATTTTATTACAGTTAATCATAAGTTGCTCTGATTTTTTGTACAGGAGAAACAAGAACAGCAAAGACAAGCTCAGCAGCAGGCAATACTACACCGTCGTGACAATCCAAGTGGCATTGAAGGAGTACCACCAGGTAGTATGCCACAAGGAGTTATGCCACAAGCAAATATGACACCAGGGGGTATGCAGCCGGGTGCAATGCCGCCTGGAGGTATGCCACGTATGGAGGGCATGCAGCGCCCCCCAGGCTTTCCTATGCAGGGATACCGTCCCAGGATGGAACATCCACCAGGGTAAGCTGCCTTCTGTTCACACATAAGCTCAATGCACTTTCTGTAGATGACACAAAGTTAAGTATCAAGGTCATGATTAAAGAATTAATCATCAGGTGTTGCTTCTTCATTTTTCACTTTCTAAATTCTTTACTTTTTTGCTGTACTATACACTTTTAATGGCACTGAAAAAACAATGATCTTCCTTCTTTAGTGACCCCAACCAGTGGCCACGTATGTTTGGCCCATCAGAGGGTGGTCCAGCTCAGCAAGGTAAACCAGGCTTCCCTCCAGGTGTCCCAGCGGGTGTACGCATGCCAGTGCAGCAGATGCGGCAGTTTGCTCCAGGCGTCCCACCTCAGCAGGGACCAGGACCAAATGCAGGAGGCCCAGGCATGGCCCCACCCCCTCACCCTCCACCAGTACCACCCATGCAAGGTAAGTTTAGTGTCAGTCAGGATCTAGAACATGGATGTAACAAAAGAATTGGTCATTATTTTCCCTACCAGTCAATAAAATTTGTTGTAAAGATGTTTTGGAAAGAGTATAATGGGGTAACCTTAAAGGTTTATCTATAGGTGATCTTATAGGTTTGTCTGGAATATTACACTATCTGTAGGTAATCTTTAAGTTGGTCTGGAATATTACACTTTCTGTAGGTAATCTTTAAGTTGGTCTGGAATATTACACTTTCTGTAGGTAATCTTTAAGTTGGTCTGGAATATTACACTTTCTGTAGGTAATCTTTAAGTTGGTCTGGAATATTACACTTTCTGTAGGTAATCTTTAAGTTGGTCTGGAATATTACACTTTCTGTAGGTAATCTTTAAGTTGGTCTGGAATATTACACTTTCTGTAGGTGATCTTTAAGTTGGTCTGGAATATTACACTTTCTGTAGGTAATCTTTAAGTTGGTCTGGAATATTACACTTTCTGTAGGTAATCTTTAAGTTGGTCTGGAATATTACACTTTCTGTAGGTGATCTTATATTACACTTTCTGTAGGTAATCTTTAAGTTGGTCTGGAATATTACACTTTCTGTAGGTGATCTTATAGGTTGGTCTGGAATATTACACTTTCTGTAGGTAATCTTTAAGTTGGTCTGGAATATTACACTTTCTGATCTTTAAGTTGGTCTGGAATATTACACTTTCTGTAGGTGATCTTATAAGTTGGAATATTACACTTTCTGTAGGTAATCTTTAATGGAATATTACACTTTCTGTAGGTGATCTTATAGGTTGGTCTGGAATATTACACTTTCTGTAGGTAATCTTTAAGTTGGTCTGGAATATTACACTTTCTGTAGGTGATCTTATAGGTTGGTCTGGAATATTACACTTTCTGTAGGTAATCTTTAAGTTGGTCTGGAATATTACACTTTCTGTAGGTGATCTTATAGGTTGGTCTGGAATATTACACTTTCTGTAGGTAATCTTTAAGTTGGTCTGGAATATTACACTTTCTGTAGGTAATCTTTAAGTTGGTCTGGAATATTACACTTTCTGTAGGTCACCTGACTCGAAGAACATGACATGTGATCTGTTAACTGTCTTAACGTTCTGTGTAATTGTGAGCCACATCATGTATCAATTAACTTGTGTGATGTAGATAGGTGACTTTGGATAGCCTCAAGTAACTAAATACTTGTTTACTCTAAATATTGCTCACATGCCAAAGTAAAGAACTCACTATATGTTTGACATATAGCAGTTTGATAATACAAGGTTTTAATGTAGGTGAACTGAACCCAGAGTTGGAGCGCCAACACCTTCAGTATGAGGAATGGCTCATCAAACAAAGCCAGTACCTGGAGATGCAGGTCAAGGCACTGGAACAACAAATTAATAAGTGCAAGCGTACCAAGAAAGCAATCAATGCCAGAGGCAGATCTGTAAGTCTTTGTCGTCTATATCATACGCTGAAAGTGAAAAATACTCTCAGAGGTTCAGGTTCTATATATCACACCAAATGTGATGGCAAGGTTCTGTATTCTGATGTGTGTTTGTACATCACTCAGTGGATTTAAAAGTATTAACTTCACTACTAGGAATCACAGTGTCTAGATGTTTGACATTAGCTGTATTCAATGTTTTTCTAGCTATTTAGGAAGGGATCTCTACAATTAAAACAATGGTATGTTGACTTTGATTTGTTTAAAAAAAAAGCATTGGAAAGTAAGATTGAACAGTTCATGTGAAAGAAATAAAGAATTTACCATTATGTAAAAAGGTTTGGAAGCTGTATCCCTTTTTTATTGTACATTTTCGACAAATACTACAGTATATTGGATTTCTAATAAGTAATAATATGAGATGCCCTTTATACTGATTGTATAGGCCAAGAAAGCCAACAAAGAGATACCTATCCAGGATACACAGGAGCTGGAGCGAGTCACACAGGAACAGTCAATGCTTCAGAAGCAGCTGGAGGGCCTACGCAAACAGTTCCGCACACATCAGATGCAGGCCCAAGAGTACAGGACTAAAAAGAGAGTAAGATCTTCATCATGTAGACCCTGTTGTTAGAAACATACTCTGAATAACAGTAGAAATATAGAGCTGTCATACTACACTCGAGTTAAGATTCTCACTGTATAGTGATTCAAGTAAAGGTAAAATAAGACATCGAAGCTTCAGTAACAAAAGATTTGAATATCTCTGGCTAGTTTTGAAGAAGCCCGAGCTGCTCTGCATCATTCATTCACTATTTCTACTGAACAGTGTCTAACCACAGTTAAACATCACTGTGGTGAATCAGGAGTCATTAGGTTCAGACAACTGAGTGACAGTGCTGTAAAAAGAATGTTTCTGTTTCTTTTGGTATATTTTCACTCCTGGAGATAACATTGGTTGTTGTTTAACAATAGGAACGGTTTGGTCTACCAGTCCAGCCCCCACAACCTTCTCAGCCCACGTCTTCAACAGGAGTGCCAGACCCAGTCATGGGAGGGCCACTGCAGCCTCGTATCCCTGGTGGACCTGGCACAATACGACTAACTGCATCTGCTCGCCAGGAATATGATAACTACATGCAACAACGACTTCGTCAACAGCAGCAGCAGCAGCAACAGCAACAGATGGGTGCTCGTCCACCAATGCACACTGTTGTTGAGGTATGAGAACATTATTAAGCTTTCTGGGTGTGCAAGTTTGAGCCAGTAACAAATTGTGTGTTTATAAGGAGGTTGATGTGCAGGTTTTCTAGGTGATAAAACAAACTATTAGTTCTAATAGACTATGAGATATCTAAAAAGCTTACCTATTAATATATACATCTAATATAACATGTGGGAATACTTCGCCAAACTTTTTGCATGATATTTTGATGTTCTTTAGAAGAAATGATGTTTTATTTAATACATATATTACATGCTAAAGAAGTTTGAAGTTTTCAAATGTGATTGTGTTTTGAATTCTGGCTCAATGCAATTGTCACAACTGCTACAGTGCTAGAGTTGTGTGCCATAATCAGCGGACATCTTGACCTTGTCATCACCGTGGTCACCCTGTCATCATCATTCTCTTCATTCCCGCTGTCTTCCTTAACATCTAGGCTAGAGATTTCATACCTTCCAAATACTAGTGTAGTGTTGAACCTTGTCACATGTGTGCCATAGGTCTCCCACAGATAGATTTGTGTTTCCCCCAAATTTGTTTTGATATCATTCTCACTTTGGTTCCGTGTTTCCTTGTTTAAGTATTGAATGACGGTAAAGTTGTTGTGATCAAACAGCTGCCCAGAAACACCAATATACCCATACTTTGATCTGTTTGGATGATGCCCTTTGCCATCAGTACTAAATGTATATATATTATAAAAATATTGTCATATTTCAGTAGATATTTTAGGGTGGGGGGGGAGTATCTTTTTTTAATTGATAGATTATACTCTTTAGCAGTTGCTTTTAATTGGGTATGCAGAGGTAGGCATTGCATGGTTTGCTGATGGGAGGGACATGCATGTGTTCTGTTACAGGGGTTGTCAGGTTTTCTGATAAATTGGTAAATGGGGTTGAGGGTTAACTATCTGTGTGTTTGGATTGATATGTTTGAGAAGGATGATCTTGATGAGGGAGAAGGAAGTGGCAATGTTGTCACAGGACATTTGTAGTAGCGATAGGAATGGACAAAGTTGCAGTGTTGAGGTTGATTTGGTGGGGTAGGCCCCTACAACAAGGTGAACAAAGATGGTGACAACACCTGATGAATTTTTGTGTTTGATCACACAGTATCCCCAGGGAAAAACAACCTCCAAAAAGAAAAAGGCTACAAAAGTGTGCAAAGCCACTACTCTTCAGGTGAGACAAGTCATTTCCCACTTTTTCAAAGCGCTATTTTGTCACAGCATGCTAGACTTTTGCCATGTTTGTTGATACCGTTGGTATAACAACTCTTCGCCATCCAACACCCAGACCATTTAACTTGAATTGTCTCCCCTCATCCTTAAGACTGTGAATTTTTTGCTATCAAATTTTGAGAAACCAATGAAATAAGATAGTGGAAAAAGTCAAATTACTGAAATGTTTCTAACAAGCAGAATCTTTTCCTTTCATAATGCTTCAAGAAGTAGTTTAATTAATGTTATATTTGTAACCAAAGTACACTTAAAAGAATTTTTTTTATCTTTTTTTTTGTTTTAATTTATTAATTCACTTTGATGAATTCTGATATTTAATATTTTATACGTATGGTTCACATGAATAACTTGTTCAGTGGACTGACAAACTGTGATTCTGCTTTGTCTATCAGCTGTTGTGTCTTCATTGTCTCACACTAATACAGATACATGGCTTCTGTTTATTAAATGGCAAATCTTGAACATTGATTACTCAGATGTAGGTACTGGCTAGATTGGAATCATTAATCAACATTTTTAGTACAAAAAGGTCATGCTATAGTCTAACTAATTGGGTTGCTAGCGGTAACGTGTCGCTGATCCATTTGAACTAATCTGTAACATTCTTTTCTTGCTGTACTCAATTACTCTGTTGTATATTTAGGTAGTTGGGGGTAAGTATGGTGTAACTGACTCTTTAAAGGTGACACTCATAAACACCGGCAATATGAATAGACGGTAAGATGAAACCAAAAAAGCCCTGATACTGTACAGCCATACAGAATTGTGTGGCTTTAATTCCCTTTGTAACCAGGAAATTTGTATGCTGAAGTGAAAAGATATCTTATGAATACTAATGAGTGCTAAGATTTATATAAAACCAGAGAGAACTATGACAGTAGGGTCACTTTAGAGTAAGGGGTTCAACCTGCAATAAAAATGTCAGGTACAAATTAGGATGGGAGCTGGATTGCAGAATACTTGGCCCATGTAGTTTTTAGGACACAGCTTCATCTGTCTGAAAACAACTAGCTAAATATTATTAGCTTTTGGAATTTTTGCATAAAACAGGTTTGATGCATATATATATATATATTGTTGGTTAAGAGTTTTTATGTGTGACAGAAAATTTCATAATTGTGCTTTTTAAGGTTAAATTTACATGAAACATTCTCAACATCCGGTAAAGGTGCGTTGGGGTATCACAATGTATTCCATGCCATCTGAACTGTTTCAAGCGTGTTATGAAAGAGTAATTCCAAAAGGGAGACAACTTTGTCAGTAGGTAATTTTGAAAGGGATATAATTTGCAAAGGTTATGACTTTTTGACAACGCACAATGAAGATTTAAGGGAAATAACTATCAATAATACACAATGGACAAATTGCCTTGAATTACAGAAGAAAGCTAAGGTAGCAGTGCGAAAGAGGTCAGCATCTGTAAGTAACATCACACAGCACAACTGTACAAGTGTTCTAATTATAAATCCTTTTTTCTTAAAGAAGTGTCAAAACTCCAATGTAATTGTTGTCAAATATACTGTTTGCACTTTTTTTCTTACAAAGTTCATACTGAGGTGAAATCAATATGTAAGGGTATTTTTATGTATAGAGTACACAACAGGCAAATTCCCCTTAAATTACAGAAGAAAGCTAAAGTAGCAGTGGCCAAGAGCCCAACGCCTGTAAGTAATGTCACACAGCACTTCAAATGTGGTCAGCTTTTTTTAAATGAAGATTCATTCAGTTTTTCAATTTTTTAAAACTAAAATTTCAATGTTGTTGAATATGCTGAATGCACCAGGTAGATTTGTATGGGGCTTGACTAAACTCATCTGTTGAATTCCTCTTCTTTTTGTTATTGAAATCTGATGCCTGCAATATTTTCATACTTTTATAAAGTTGATGTCAGAAGTATTTATTTTATTTTCACTTTTTTGAAATCAACTATATTTGGTGTAACTTTAATAGATGAAACCAGACATTTTAGGCAAACGAGGTAAGGGGAAATTCACTACTGTGTAAGGTTTGGATCTTTGTAGATAATACAGACTTAATGGTCAATGCTGCTTCTCATGGATTTTGAACTGATGCAGAATATTGAGAATAAAGTGTTCTTGATACCAAAATCTGCCAGCATTCAACTAACTACTTTATAAAACTTTTGAAGCTTAAGTTAAATAAGTGGTGATGACATTATTTATAAAACAGATTTGGAACATGTATTGTATATACGGTGACAGCATGACATTATTTATAAAACAGATTTGGAACATGTATTGTATATACGGTGACAGCTTAAGTCAAGGGGAGAAAAGCTGAAGTTATGTCAACCATCATGTCATGCTGTTCAAGGTTTTGTAGTAAAGAGTTTAAGGATAAGAAATCAAATGTGACTTCAAAGATCAAGAAAACGTTAAATGATGACTGTTACAGATATAGGGAAACTTCAGGTCTCGGTAACCTCTATATCAATGAGAATGTCAGGCTGAAAAGCTGTTGAAAGACAGATCACTCCAATAACTTAGGTTTCCAATTGGCAAATGCAAAGGTATTTCAAAAAAAAATTTAAATGTCTCTTTTAAAGAATAAATGATGTTTCAATGATATTGGCAGTGTATGCCACTTATTCTTAAGATATTATTCATTTGAATATTTCTCACTCCATTGTTAACATGATCTTTCACAAATGTTTTATTTACTAATGTAAAACAACTGGAGACCTGTAATACTACTGCAAGTCCTTTATTAACCCGTTATCATCAAATAGTACAAATCGCCCTTCGTCCACAGTCCAGCTATAGGTAAATGATATTTATTGTTGCTATTTCTTGAGAAGTACTGAAGGAGATTTCTCAAATTTTCCTTGGTCCGTAAACCAAAACAGAATGGCTGACAGATGGCCATCTTGGATTTTGACAGTAGTAGTTTGTTATTGCTAGTTCTTGTGAAGTTCAAGAGGGATCTTTCTTAGATCTCTTTCACATATTCCCCTTTGTCACCAGTTGTGAACTTTTTATTTTTGGACTGATGATAGTAACAAAATCACTGATGAGTGGCTGTCTTGTATTTGACAGTTTAATATTATTATCATTATTACTATTTCTTGAGAGGAATTTCAAAATTTCATAAAATAAAAAGCAAAAACAAAGGAAAGAAGAGAAAAGACAGAATAGAAGTGTAACCATGGTGGGCACCAAGACCCCACTGTCATCTCTTGTCAAATCGTGCTGCTGTAAATCACTTAGATTTTGTAAATACTTTATTTAGCAAAATCACCTCTGTAGACATATTCATGAATACTGGATTTCACAAACGCTGGTCAAGAAATGAACGAATTCGCAAGAGATATGGACTCTAGAAAGCTCCTATATTGGCAGCCTCTGGCTTCATATTGGCTGCCATTTATCTATTAGTTATGTGAATACGCCACATGCTTTTATGCTTTTAGAGTAAAATAAGTTGTTTTCAAGGTCAGATGACAGGACTTCAATAGACCTTCTGTGTTGTGCAGTGTTTAACGTTACAGTTTGCAACGTGTTTACTAATTATATAGAAGTCATTTTCCTACTGTGTATTTTGTGATTTAATCAAATAAATATAAAATAAAGTTATAAACTCCCTTATTAAAGATATATATACATCTGTTCGATCTCCGACCTCTGACCTATAGCTGTAAATTTGAATTAGCCAGTTTTACAGTTGGCTAACTTAGATGTTGTTTAAACGTGCAAAGTTGTTCAAGGTTTGAATTCGAATGTGATATATCTCGAGCAG